ACGTCGGCGAGTGCGTGCGAGGGACCAGCACACTGAGAGGCGTTTCAGTCGCTCTGTCTCTCTCGCACCTACACGGCGCGCCCATGAGCGCGAGAGAGACAGAGCGACCAAAACGACTCTCAGTCTGCTGCGCGCGCACTCTCGCGGCCGGCGGGGGAAGCACTTGCAAGTGAATAAACTCGAGTGGGGCTTGCCCGGCTTGCCCGGCTTGCCCGGCTTGCCTAGCGGACTGATTCCGAGTGGGAGTTCTCTCTCTCGCGCTCACGGGGCGTCCCGAGAGGGTGCGAGAGAGACAGGATGTGCCGGCCGGGCCAGCGCCACCAGCACGCAGGCATAACTCAGCGACGGGACACTCGCACGTAAATCAAGGAACATGCGAAAGGAGCGAGTAAACGCCGAGCCCCACCAACAGTGTCGCGCCGCCTCGCTCGCGCCCCCACGGGCCTAACGGCACGCCCCGTGGGGAAGGGGGAGGGGGAGGGGAGGGGGAGGGGAGAGAGAGAGAGAGAGAGAGAGAGAGAGAGAGAGAGAGAGAGAGCGGCGCGCGCGATGAAAACGCCTGCGTCGTAGCGTCGTGCGCACTGCAGTACACCGCTGTGCGGCGGGCTGGCCTACCCTGAACTTCGCAGGCGGCGTGCTTCAGTCTCTCAACAGCTTGAGCGGATTCGACAGCTCCAGGCATCGCCAGGCGCCGCCAGGCGCAAAAGGGGAAAATGGGGCAGTGGGCCCCAGGTCGGGCTCCTCGCTCCTCTCCTCGTGTTGCAGTGTACACTCCAGTCTGTAGATGTCGTCAAGTCCCGCCGGCTGCAGCGAGAGTCCATCGAGGAGCCCATGTGCATGTATGCAGGCAGGCGAGGCGGGACTGCACCGCCATGCACGCCCAAACAACGAAGTCGATGCCATGCCGTGCTTCGCGCCCCGCCCGGCCGCGCCCCGCCCTGCCCCGCCCCGCCCCGCCCCGCCCCGCCCCGCTCGGCCGAGGACTTGAATAACTGGCTGGACATATCGTTCTGGAAGTGGGCCCCCCACCCCACCCACCCTGGCAGGAAATGGACAGGGGACACACCCTCGGCGACGCCCCACCCTCACTCGGCACGCAACCCCTCCCTCCTCCCCCGCCCGCCACGCCCCGCCCGCCCACGCCCCGCCGACACCCCTGTTCGACCGCGTATTACCTAATGGGTGCCACACCACCCACTCCGTGCACTGCGTCTCGCGCTCACCTCTGCCGAGAGCGATTCGACAGAGAAGTCGCTCTGTCTCTGTCGCACTCATAGGGCACTCCGTGCGGGTGCGAGAGAGAGAGAGAGAGAGGAGAGAGAGAGAGAGAGAGAGAGAGAGAGAGAGAGCGCCGAATCGCAGAGCGCTGCTATAGTTGCAGTGTTCGAACCCGGTACGCTGCAAAGAAGACGGACCTCGGCGTGCAACAGGCAGAGAGCCGCCCAGCACGCTTTACAGTGCTTTCGTCGCTCTGTCTCGCTAGCACTCGTGGGGGCGTCCCGAAGGGTGCGAGAGAGACAGAGCGACGGAACATTTAACCGATAAAAGGAGCTCGCAATTACTGGCCTTGCTTAGTGCGGGGACAAGCTGCAAGTGGGCCAAAGCCTCACTCTCACTCTCTCCGTCTTTCTCTCTCTCTCTCACACACACACACACACACACACACACACGTCACCCCCCCCTTTCCCGTATACCAACAACGGACTAACGGCCCTTAATAACCAGGTGCAAGTGTCTTCGCTTTTACTGCTGCGTTTTATCAAATCAAAAAGCATTATTTTCGGAACTCTCCCTTTCATTGATACGAAGTGAGAGCCTAGGATATACGAGTGCTGCGGTTGGAGATGAAAACCAGAGCCGCACCATCACTCAGTGGGCCAGAGGGCCGGCGGCGTCGGTCAATTATTCTAGACGCGTTTTGAGCTCCAGAGTCGCTAAATGGAACTAGAACCGAACGTGTGACCCCCCACCAATGGATCGCTCTACGAACGGGGAATCCATTGGTGGAGTCGCAGGTTTCGGTTCGAGTCGCATTTAGCACTCCGGAACTCAAAACGCGTCTAGAGTTTCGGCCGCCTTCACCGTTCCTGGATCACTCCCACCTTGCAGAAAGGTTCAACGGATGCTTCTATAACGTTCGCTGGTTTTGACCCCGGACGAGTCCAGACTCACTCACGGATAGAAAATTAGAACCCCCGACTGGAAAAAATCCTCATGAGCGTACGTGCGGTGGGTTTGAACCCGGAACTCTTCTGACTTCTCAAACTGACCACAACCCACGCGGCCACGGCACCGCCGCCGCCGGTCGAGGACAAGCGAGGGTTCCACCTGGATCCCCTTGTTTCGATTCGCGGTCGCCGCGCCACGACACCCTGCAGCCACGAAGGGCCATACCGTCGCTCTGTCTCTCTCGCACTCATGGGGGTCCCGTATATGTGCGAGAGAGACAGACGAAACGACTCCGCGGGTCCCTGGGTCCCGCGCTACGGGCGTCGCCGTGCGAGGTCTCCGAGGTTGCCGCCATCGCCGTGTTCCCCGAGCGGGCAGACTGACTCCGAGAGTCTCGCTCTGTCTCTCTCGCACCCGCACGGGACGCCCCGTGAGTGCGAGAGAGAGAGCGACGATAAACGACTCTCGGAATCAGTCTGCGGGGCAAGAGGCAGGCCGGGCGAGTGGCCGCGTGGCCGCTCTACATCACCTCGACGTTATCTGGAGTTGTGGTGGCGGCTGTGTCGGCGGTAGCGCCACGCCCATACTCATCCCCTTCGCCCCCCCCCCCCTTTCTCCCCTCCCTCCCCTGCACGGCGCGGCCGCAGCGGGGGGACCTTATTTATGCCTGCTCTGGATACCATGCGCGGTGTCCAGTGCAGTGTACCTACACCGCCATGCTTTTCCACAGTGTACTTACACTTGAATTCAAAAATACTTCGGAAAAGTACCAAAAAAACGTCTTTCTGGAGTTTCGCTAGGGACCCCAAAGAGTCTTTCTGAAGTCTCTCAGTGAAGTCTTCCTGGAGTCTCCCATAGGAATGCTGGACTTTAGCCCAGAGACCGGCCGGCATCCCATAACTCATCTCACCCGTTCCATCCGAGAAACCGAGCCGAGCCGAACCGAGCCGAGCCGAGCCGAGCCGAGCCGAGCCTGGGCGGTCCGAACAGGAGGCGAAGCAGCGTTATTTCTAAAGCCGCGTTGACCACCACCACGCTCTCCGCGTGGCGGAGCAGCAGCAGACTGATTCCGAGAGTCGTCTTCGTCGCTCAGTCTCTCTCGCAACCGCGCGGGACGCCCCGTGAGCGCGAGAGAGACAGAGCGACGAAACCGCCCCTCGGAATGAGTCCGCAGTGCGCACTCCACTGGGAGACGGCGACTCCAGAACCAGCAATCACGCAATGCACGTCGCCGAACTTGACTCCGCGTTCTGCAGACTGAGAGTCGTTCTCGTCGCTCTGTCTCTCTCGCACCTGTACGGCACGCCCCATGAGTGCGAGACAGACAGAGCGACGACTCTCGGAGTCAGTCTGCAGGAGCGCGGTTCTACGAAGACAGCGGCGTCGGGGCGCCGCGTTGCAGCATGCTGATTCCGCGCACTGCGGTCTCTCTCGCACTCATGGGGCGTCTCGCATGGGTGCGAGAGAGACGGAGCGACTGCAGACTCCGCCCGCGGCGCGTCTGGGCGCGTCGTGGCGTCGCGGCGGCCGCGCCACTGCAACTCCACGACGCCATGGGGCCATGGGGCCTGGCTAGGCACGGCCAGGCACGGCCAGGCACGGCGGCCCGGGCCGCAGCCATAAGCCTCCCGTGTTACCCGATAATATAAACCTCGTTGTTACTTTAGTGCCGCCGCGTTGCCCGGCCGGTCGGCCTGCCTCGTATGTTGCACGCGGAATCGCTCATTGTTTTATCACGCCACTGCAAAAAAAAAGCAAAGAAAAAAAACAACGGACCGAACGAGCTTGCACACTTCGCGCTGCCGTCGTAAAGTTTTTCTGGATTTTGACTGTGTATTTTGTTCATATTTCGTTCGGGTCTGCGTTGCCCAGGTGCAGCGCAGCGTGCGTCGGCGCCTCCAGCACGCCGAGCGCGGTCGCTCTGTCTCTCTCGCACCCCTGCGGCGCGCCCCGTGAGAGCGAGAGAGACAGAGCGCGCTGTCGGCCGCCTGCAGCAGCAGACTCATTCCGAGAGTCGTTTTCGTCGCTCTGCCTCTCTCGCACTCATGGGGCGACCCGTGCAGGTGCGAGAGAGGCAGAGCGACGAAAACGACTCTCGGAATCAGTCCACGGCAGCAGCCCTGGGGTCTCCAACAAGAAGGCCCTCTCTACAAAGTTGCGGCTTTCTATCTTTGTCCCACCTCCACCCCGTTGCGCCCCGCCACGCTCCGCCATGCCCCGCCATGCCCCGCCATGTACGGACTGCGCCGCTTTATGGCTTCTGAGAAGGAGAAGGGCTGCCGGGCTGCCGGCCCTTTAGACACATTGCGTACGAAGGACGGAGTACGGAGTACGAAGTACGAGGAGCGGGCGCCAGCCAGCGCCGCCCATTCGCCTCGCTCTGTCTCTCTCGCACCTGCAACAAGGCGTCCGCCCGCCCCAGGAGTGCGAGAGACAGACCCTCCCGGCCGAAGAGGGGCGGTCCGACGGTGTTTTCCGAACGCGCCGAAAGCATACCCCAAAACAACCCCAAGGCCGCCGCCAGTGAGATTCTGAGATTCAGACAGGTGGTCTGAGTTTGGAGTTTGGGCACCATGGTTTTCGGAAGCAATGGTCTAAAGATCGACACTGCTGATGCAAGTGTAGACCAAGTACACACAGTGCAGGCTTTGAAGTGTGGCGCAGCTTGGTTCAAGTTTCAAAGTGTGAACGACATTTAGGTCCACGCTTGCAGGCACAGAACTTTCCACGGTACAATCAGAACATATCGGAACATATTAACAGATAGGCAACTTGGTTGGCCCATAAACAATCTTTATATTTTCCTATTTGTTTCAATGTGCAACACATACCTGTCAAATATTTGTTGATCACGCTGAGTTGTGTATATCCAACCTTGGATGGGGATGGCTGCATCACCAAACGGCAGAATGATATTGTCAACGAATAGCACTCATCACTTAATTTTGTCCAAACACTTGAGTCTTATCACTGGTCACAAATAAAATAAAAACTGAGGAGGCAATATTAAGTCTTGAAGTCTTGAAGGAAAGAAGCACTAATAGGAGTTCCTTTCTTGATCTCATTGTGAAGATTCCTGGGGCCCGTCGGACCAGGCCATAGTGAGGTTCGTAGGCCCTATAAGGGGGACACAATTTCAGAGTTTTGAAGCGTGTCAACAAGCGTGACGTCCTGTCGCGTTCCCTTCGTTCAATTTGTTTCATGATTTCACTGACACAGCACTCAAATTTGCGTGGAACAGTCCAAAAACGAAATAAACGAGCCAAAAGCACCCACGAAAACGCGCGTAGAACATTTGCGACGCAACTACAACTAAACAAAATCAGACAGAGCTGCCAACATAGAAAGTTACAATAAAACAATGTATCAGGTATAGTCTTCAGTAAAATCTTTATTCAGACATGATAAATGGTGTGCATGAAAAGACGCAAGAATGATTAGGGAGGATTTTGGTAGTTTACTCAAACAGTTGGGATATTCTTTTAATTTCTTATGTTGGCACCATCGCCGAGGTCTGTTTTGTTTTGTTGCGTGAAGTGCGAGCCCGTGTCTGCTTCTTGGCTCGTTTATTCCGTTTTTCGAACTGTTGCAGACAAATTTGAGTGCAACGCGGCAGTGAAATCCTGAAACAAACAAATTGAACAAAGACGTCACGTATGTTGACACGCCTTAAAACTCTGAAGTTGTCGCCATCTAATTAGGTCCGCCTAACCTCACCTGGTCCGCCAGCTTCTTTTCTGTAAGACCGAATTTATGGTACCACCTTAGTGCTGATTTACTTTGTGACCAGTGATAAGAATCAAGTTTTAGGACAAAATTAAGTGATGTCTGCTATTCGTGGACAAAAACATTCTATTGTTTGGTTATGCGTGGACCCAGCTGGTCACCACCTCAAAGTGTAGACTTCGTCCAAAAAAAGACATTTTTTTAAATTTTATATTGCTTTCTACTGTTCCAACGGGAACATTAAAGCACCTTAAGCACGTCCAGCTCCTCAGCCTACCTCCCGCTCCTCCTCCTTCTTCTCCTCGTGGCCCTAGGCGGAAAGGGAAGCGCCCTTGTCAGCCGATCCCTCCCGCCCACTCTTTTCGACGCGCGTTTTGTCCAGAGAGGAATCCAGAGGCCGCGACGCGCCGCGCGATGATTATACACGAAAATGAAGAGGAACACACACACACTCACACACAGCCGACGTGTGTGGGGGGACGCGGCTGCCGTACGTCAAAACGAATGGGAATTATCGGTAGCGGAAGAAGCGCACCTCCTGGCTGCGTTTCAACACGTTGTTATTTTCCTCGTCGTGTCTAAGTGCTTGTGTGTGTGTGTGTGTGTGTGTGTGTGTGTGTCTGTGTGCGAGTGTGCGAGTGTGAGTGCGTGTGTGTGACACTGGGCGTCCCTAGACTGTGCCGACCGACGCTGCGCGCTGCGCCCCCGGGGCCCCACATCACACTCCGCAGACTGATTCCGAGAGTCATTTTCGTCACTCTGTCTCTCTCGCACTCACGGGGCGTCCCGCATCGGTGCGAGGGAGACAGAGCGACGAAAATGACTCTCGGAATCAGTCTGCCGCTCGGCAAGTGCTGTGCGTTGCGCCGCGCGGGGGTGACAGTTTTCCCGTGGGCAGGTGTTACGTGTTTTGGTGGACGCGCTGCGCCCGGCTTGCGTAGAGAAATGGCTGCATGTTTTATTCATGTCCACCGTGTGATTTGCATGGCGAGCCTCCTGGACGGCGTCCTGGACGGCGTCCTGGACGTCCTGCCGGAGACTCGTTCCGAGAGTCGTCGCTCTGTCTCTCTCGCACCCACACGGGGCGCGCCGTGAGTGCGAGAGAGACGGAGCGGCGACTCTCGGAACGAGTCCGCCGCTGGACGCGGCTCCACATCACTCACTTCGCCTGCCCGGTCACTTCATTCAATCACTCTCTTGCATACCGCCCACACGGGAGGAAAACAACAACAACAACAACAACAAACGAGCAAAAAAAGTCAAAAAAAGTTTGGATCCGGCGGGATTTGAACCCGGGCCCGGTTCGGGTGGCGCGGGAAACGACGCGCACGTGCACACCACGTGGCGCCCCGGCCGGGACGACGTGCCGCGGACACGCGGACGTGCCAATCGGGGTGCCGACGGTGCCGACGGGTACATTGGTAAAACCGTGAAACCGCATCGCGGTGTGGCGCCATTACCGATACTACACCGTACCGATGGACACGTCGGCAGCGAGGAGAGGGAGAAGAAGCAGGGGGAGACGGGTCCCACCCCCACCGTAAAAACGGAGGTGGGTCCCACCCCTACACTGTAACGCGAGTTTCTGGAGGAGCATTGTGGTTCCGTATGTTGCTTCTGAAAGATACTAAAGTGGGCATACCTGTGAGGAGTCAGTATCAAACACAGTTTCAAAAGTATCTGGAGTTTTGGCCTCCTCCCGCGGTCTTCTGGCCCACTGTGTGCCTCCACAATATCCCAAACGTAACGCAACGGCGATTGGAATTCTTGTCGTCGTGAACTGATTGGTTTTCCCTTTCTTTCCAGATGCATACCTGCCAGAGGAAACCCCGTCTTTCTCTCATTTGGCATACGGTCTTGAGGCCGGTTTACTAATTTCTCGTTTAGGAAGAGCATCGGTCGCGTGGCGGCGGGTGGCGGGGCGCGTGCCTGATGCTGATAGCTTGATTGCTCCTCGTTCGCGGAGTGATAAAGATCCAGTCGTGCAAATCCAATTGACTCGCGGTGTTGCTCTATTTCGTGACTCCGTTTCTTTTCCCACATTTTTTTTTTCGAGTCAGTATCCCAGGGCGATGTTTGCAACGTAGAGTCCTTGTGTGAGGACCTTCCTTGGGGACGCACGTGTCGAGTCGGCCAGCACCACCCTGACTCCGAAAGAACGTTTCGTCGCTCTGTCTCTCTCGCACCCTCACGCAACGCTTCATGAGTGCGAGAGAGACAGAGCGACGAAACGTTCCTTCGGAGTCGGGCGGCAGCGCGGCAGCACAACCTTGGCGAGGCGTCCGCGCGCCACGGCGCCGATTCGGTGGCCGTGCTGCCCTCTAGCGGCGGCGCCCGCAAGCGCGCCGAGCGCGGCGCGCGGGGTATCGCCAGAGCGCGGGCCGGTACAGTGCGTTCGCCTGGAGGAGGCCGTGCAGTGGGTCAGAAGACCGGCGCCGGCGGCGGTCGAAACTCTAGACGCGTTTTGAGCTACAGAATCACTAAACAGGACTCTAACCGAGCGTGTGACCCCCGCCAATGGATTCTTCGTTCGGAGAGCATTCCATTGGTGGGGTCACACGTTCTGTTCGAGTCCCATGAAGCGACTCTGGAGCTCAAAACGCGTCTAGAAATTTGGCTGCTTCCACCGGAGTTGGTTTTCAAATTAATTTTTTTTTTTTTTAATTTTAAATGACGAGGGTTGTTGTTTCCCAAACGTGTCCAGTAGGTTCAAAGGGGGAAAATGAGGTGTCAAAGTCAAGTCCTCCTTTTCCAATGTCACCTTTAATAAAACCGAGGTCATGCCCTGCCCGCCCTTCGACGTGCAGCATACTGAGTCCCTCGTCTCCTCGTAGCTTACAAAAATATATGCACTTCTCTGTTCGCGAGGCACTTGAAGAGTGTCACATAAACGTGCGCGATTTCGCAACTATTGTCCTGAAATTATTGTCTGTCGTTTTGGTTTAGACCGTCAGCCGAAAATTCATTTTGATTTGCCCGCCAGCTGAAAAAAAAACGGGCGGCTCTATTTTTGTTTTCCAGCGCGCGGTAAACAGCCGCAAGGGAAGTCCCAGCCACGGCGCCCCCCTTGCCGCGCGCAAGTTTGTGGACACTGTTAACTACAAAAATAAAAGCGTCGCGCTCAATAAATTAATAATTGGTAAACATTTTTTAAAAAATGGTTGAAATGAAACGCAGCCCGTCTTTCCATCATTTGACGTCCGGCTGGAAGCGCGCCTCCTCCAGCTCCTTGCTGCCGGGGCTGCCGGCCGCGACGGACGGCGCGCCGGCCTTCTTGTCGCCCACACTGTACGCCCACTTGTCGTCGGCCGCCCTGTCCGCCTTGTCGCCGCCGGCCTCCGTCTCCAGGAGCACCACGTCGTGGAGGCGCTTGTCCTCCTCCTCGCGGCCCCGGTGCGCCTCCAGGTTCGCCTCCAGGCGACGCAGGACGCCGTCCAGCGACTCCCAGGGCACCTCTGCCGGCCGGGAACGAAAGGGGTGAAGGTCAGTGTCCGACACTACAATAAGAGGGGCAACGCACAGTGGGCCAGATGACCGGCAGAGGCGGCCAAAATTCTAGACGCGTTTTGAGCTCCAGAGTCGCTAAACAGGACTCGATTCAAACACGTGACCCCACGAATGGATTTCTCGTTCGGAGAGCAATCCATTGGTGGGGTCACACGTTCGGTTCGAGTCCCGTTTGTGACTCTGGAGCTCAAAACGCGTCTAGAATTTTGGCTGCCTCCATCGGTCTTCTGGCCCTCTTACCCCCAAAAAAAGTAAAAATCAAAAACAAAAGCCGAATTTAGGCTTCCTTTCAGAAAACTTGTGCGGCCCACACTTCAAAATTGGCTGCCCGCTCGCCACAAAAACAACAGCAAAAATAATAAAAACAACAAGGGGAGGTGTTTGTTTTGTACCACTCAGGTCGATGAGGTCCGCGGGGTTGACGCGCTGGACGCGCTTCGAGGGGCCGGGCGACGTGTCCTGCTGGCGGAACCAAGGCCACGTCTCCTCCGTGCCCCACTCGCCGATCTCGTCCTGCCAAACAAGAGAGCGTCAGAGGTTCGACTCCCGCCGAGGTAAAAATCCATGTTTTACTTTCGTTTTGTGTCTCTGTTTTTGTTTTTATTTTGTTTTTGTCACTGTTTTTGTTTTTGTCTGTTTTTTGTTTAGTCTCTATTTTAGTTTTAGTCTTTGTTTTTTTTTTTGTTTTTTTCGTTTACTTTGTTTGCGTCTTTGTCTTCGCCATTGTCTCTGTGTTTGGGAGCGACTGACCAGCGCCGGGTGCATCCGCTTGCCCATCCGGGGCACGGACTTGGCGGCCTTGGCCATGAGCTCGTCGTAGTTGCGGCGCTGCACCCTGTGCGGCACACTGTGCTGTACAGTGTGCTGCCGCCCCAGCACGGCGTCGTGGCCGCCGAGGGCGGCGTGCGGCGGCCAGTCGCCGTCCTCCACCTGCAAAAAGAACAGCGAGCGCCCCGTCACACAGTGGGCCAGAAGGCCGGCGCCGGCGGCCAAAACTCCAGACGCGTTTTGAGCCCCAGAGTCGCTAAGCAGGACTCGAACCGAACATGTGATCCCACCAATGGATTCCTCGTTCGGAGTGCAATCCATTGGTAGGGTCACGCGCTTGGTCCCATTGAGCGACTCTGAAGCTAAAAACGCGTCCGGGATGTTGACCGCCTCCACCGGTCTTCTGGCCCACTGTGCGTCACAGACATCAACTAGTACTTCTTTCCCTTCCGGGTTAGGCGGTCGTGGTCTGACCTGGAGGGGGCGGGACCGTCGGTCCGGCAGGTGGCTCAGCTGGCTCCCCAGGGCCTGCAGCAGCTCGGCGCGGCGCGGTCGCGCCTCGGCCGTCTTCAGGTACTCGCCCTGGTCCTTGCCCTGGAGACACGCCGACAACGTTAGACGACAACAACACAGCTAAAGCAAAAATCAGCAACGTATCCAACAACAACATCACTGCAAATCCTTGCCTCTCCCGAGGCGCTCTATTCTGTATGACGTAGACGAAACGATGGAAAGGGGCTTCGTCCTTCTACGCGACCAAACCTTGCCGTTCGGATAACCCACTGCGAAAAGTACCAAAAATACGACGTACGGAGAGCCAAGTTTTGGGCACTCCCAGAAGGCATTCCGGGTCCTGAACGCCAAATTTTGGCAACGGAAACCTAGCGTCGCAGGGGCGGCAAGGACATACCAATGGATTTTTGCATGTTGTTGTTTATGTTGTTTTTGGTTGCACGTCACCTTGAGCAGGAAGTCGTCGGGGCCGTCCCCGGAGCGGCGCCCGATCCGCGGCACGGACTTGGCGGTCTTCATGAAGAACTCGTCGTTGCGCTTGCCGATCCGCGGCACCGACTTGGACGCCTTCAGGAAGAAGTGGTCGTAGCCGTTGGCGTAGCTGGGCACCAGCTCGTTCATGTCCGTGCTGCGCCGGTCCACGCGCAGCTGGGGGACGAAACGGAGCGGAGCGTGGCACAGTGGATTTGCCAGAAGGCCGGTGGCGGCGGCCAAAACTCAAGACGCGTTTTGAGCTCCAGAGTCGCTAAGCAGGACTCGAACCAAACGTGTGACCCCACCAATGGATTGCTCTCTGAACGAGGAGTCCATTAGTGGGGTCACATGTTCGGTTCGACTCCTGCTAGCGACTCTGGAGCTCAAAACGTGACTAGAATTTCGGACACCTCCACCGGTCTTCTGGCCGATTGTGGTTTGGTCAACTGTTTTATCAAATACTTTATCCGACGTGCTGGTACAGATTGTTTTGCAGTGGCTTACCGGGGCCTGGTCCGCGTCGTCGCCGCCGCTGCGCCGGCCGATTCTCGGCACCGACTTGGCGGTCTTGAGGAAGAAGTTGTCGTAGTCGCTGGAGCCCATAAGGAAGTTGTCCATGTTGTCGTACTCGTCGCTACGCCGCACCCTGGGCCGCGCCCTGGGCACCCCGGTCGGCTTGTCCTCGGCCAGGACGCCGCTCGCCAGCGCGCAGAGGGCCACCGCCACGCCTGAGAGAGAGCGAGAGAGAGAGAGAGAGAGAGAGAGAGAGAGAGAGAGAGAGAGAGAGAGTCAGGATCGCGGCGATACCCCTTGTCGCTCGCTGCGCGTCGCTACCCCGTGCGTCCGCGGCGCGCGCGCGCGGTCGGGAGCGCCTGTGATGCGGCGCGTAGGCAACCCGCCGGCCCCACGTGCGCAACGGGACGGCTTGGGCCGCTTCGCAGGCGCTAGCCGTGGGCCCGGGGCGGCCAAAACGCGGTTTGAGCTGCAGAGTCGCTAAACAGGACTCGAACCGATCGTGTGACTCTACCAATGGATGCCTCGTTTGGAGAGCAAGCCATTGTTGGGGTCACACGCTCGGTGCGAGACTCGTTTAGCGACTCTGGCGCTCAAAACGCGTCTGCGGAGTTTTGGCCGCCTCCACCGGCCTTCTGGCCCACTGCGCGGCCCCAACTTGAACCACGCACTCACCCAGCAGCTGGACGATGGCGCTGACGCGGCGAGTCGCCGAGCAGCCTCGGGCCGCCATGCTGGCACTCAATGGCTGCAGCAGGAAAAGCGAAAGTACAGTCAAAGCAACCAAACCGCGGCACCGAAACACCGAGGCTTTCTCGAAAAAGTGAAGTCGAACTCGGCTAACTTTGGTCTGCCTGTCGGACTGGGTGGCTGGCTACCTCGCTGGCTACGCTCCGCGGCCCTCCATCGCGTCCACGGTCGCGCTGGGGACTGCACGGCCGGACCACGGCCGCCACGGATGGCTCTCGACGCACGCTCGTGCTGTCCCACTCGCACGCGCACCAGCACGCGCGGGTGCGAGGGAGAGGCGACACGCGAGACGCACGGAGGCGGGAACGTGATCGAGAGTCTGTTATTGCCATGGTTCTCTAGCCGACCGACACCCCCACCCCCTTTTTCTTCGAACCACCCCCAAACGGCAGGCTGGCTGTTGTGCCCGTTGCCTACCTAGCACTGTCAAGGAAATTTAACTCGGTTTTAGGGCACGTTTATCTGTAGCAAAAATTGAAAAATGAATGTTAAATCTTACTAGGTAGGTACAATTTTTTTGGTTTGTTCGAAATATTTCGTAAATTACGACGTATTTTCTTTGTAAGCACAAAACACTTCATTATGACCACTTTTCTATTGAGGCCCAAAAAAAAAGTTTTTAATTTTTTGAGCGTGTTTTGGAACCAGGCCGGGGCAGAGCGCCCCAAAAGACGGACTCGCCGGACCCACTTACCTGAGCACTCCTCGCGAAGCCGATCAGTCGATGCGGATCGATCTCTAATGACGGTTCAAATCGGTGCGGTACGCTTTTATACGGCGGTGTCATCGCCCCTCCCCCCCCCCTCCCCCTCCCCCGTCTACCCCGCATTTCCAAACAACACGGTCCGTGAACAAGTGCAGCGAAGCTCCTTCCTTCCTCCCCTTCCTCTCCTGTTCCTGCTGTGTCGGGGTCATGAGGGCTTGGATCGGTACACTGTAATTAAAAAATCAATTTGAAAACCAAAAGAAAATTTGTGTTCTTGTCTTGGTTTTTGTGGGCTTTTTTTTTTTTTGTTATGGGACCTGTAACTTGACGCGGCCCCCGCAGAAAACTCGATTTAGCTTTCATTTTATTTTGGCCGGCAGTGCTGATGATGATGGACGTAAGCCAGCCGAATATTTTCTATTATTTTGTATTCGAGGAGATGTGAGTTGCTTTTTAGAGTCGTGTTCAGTTCAGTGTTCAGTGAACCCTCAAAGTACGAGTAACACTGTGACGCTGCATGAACTGCACACTCGAGCGAAAGTGAAACGTAGGAATTCAGGAAGAAATTGAAAATACTTGTTTTAAGTCTCATTTTATTAGACTAATTCAAGCAACTCAAACTCATGGCGGAGAGAAAGCAAAGACTGTTGTAAACTAGATCGGTTGGGCCTTATGGGATTTACATTCAGGCATGTTTCAAGGAGTTCTCGTCGGGGTAAAGGTGTGAATGGGTCACAGCTACGTCGGACAGTGCCCTGCTAGTCAGGGAGGTCTACTTGGTTCACAGTGGGGGTGGCCGGGGTTCTTGTCTACTGGTCGAGACTGCTGAGAGGGCCGAGACAGGGCGGGTTCTGCAGGGCAGCCGGCCGCGGCCGGCTAGCCAGGAAGAGCGGGTGGGTCTCCGGTGACGTCACGAAACCTGAAAACAGGAAAACCACACATAGGTTTCAGTCTACACTCATTCAGTCTTAAGTGGAAATTCGCTATTGTGTGGTGCTGCAGCTTTGTAACTTACGCCTGGAAATTCATTCATCCATAGTTATGGCAGATATTTTGTCGAATTTCTTTCTGATCATGGAGAAGTTCTCCAGCATAATGTATGCTGCTTTTCACCGAAAGACATTTAGAGTGTGGCTTGCTAAGACCACATTTAGTGTTCACTGAACGCCCTGGCTTGCAGTAAGCTTTTCATCCGAGGGAGGGCGTGGAGGGACGAGCGTTCCGTTCCACGACAAAGGCGGGCGTCCCACAGTGGGCCAGAAGGCCGGTGCGAACGTGTGACTCCGCCAATGGACTGCTCTCCGAACGAGGCATCCATTGGTGGGGTCACATGGTCGGTTCGAATCCCAATTAGCGACTCTGCAGCTCAAAACACGTCTAGAGTTTTGGCCGCCTCCATCGGTCTTCTGGCCCACTGTGCATGGAGGGAAGAGCGCTCCGCTCCACGACAAAGGTGGGTGTCCCCGTGAGCCACAGGCGTGAGCCACAGGGGGAGGGGAGGGAGACATGTGTACGCGCCGTACGCGACGCCCGCACTGGCAACACACGGACTGACCTACTTCGTCCTGACAAAGAAAAGAATTTATTTCTTTTGAAAATTTTTTAAGTTTTTGTTGTTGTTTTTTTTTTCAGGCCTCGTGAGTGGTGGCACCCGATTTTTGCCGCAGCCGTACGGTACCCCTTTTCCGCCGGGACTTTACAATGTACAATGTGCCCTTACACATTAGCGGGCGAGCACCTACACTCGCCGAAGGGTCCCCACCCCCTCCCCCCGGCCGACAGCCCATGTCGCGGCGAACGTAATGAGGGGCGTCGTGGCGTCGCAGCCACCCCCTTTCCCTCTCTCTTTCTCCCTCTTCCACAGTGGGCCAGAAGACCCGTGGAGGCCAAAACTCTAAACGCCTTTTGAGCTCCGCAGAAAGGGACTCGACCCGACCGTGCGACCCCACCAATGGATTCATCGTTCGGAGGGAGGTTCCTTTGGCGGGGTCACACGTTCGGTTCGAATCCCAGTCACTCTGGAGCTCAAAACGCGTCTAGAATTTTGGCCGCCTCCACCGGTCTTCTGCCCCACTGTGCAGGGGGGCCTCTCCTCTCCCTCTCCTCCCTCCCTACTCTCCTCTTCCCCTGCCTCTTGCCCACCCCCTTCCCTTCGCACCCCCCGCACGCCCACTCCCTCTCCCACTCACACACTTCAACACTATTGTAGCCCTTTTAATCTACCCATCTACCTATGCCGATCGCGCCGCGTCACTATCATGGACCAGGAGAATGATCCCGAGAGTCGTTTTCATCGCTCTGTCTCTCTCGCACTCACGGGGCGTGCCGTACAGATGCGAGAGAGACAAGACCGACGAAAGCAACTCTCGGAATCAGTCTGCACTGTAGGACCGCGTGTGACAGACCAGCACGACAGCTTTGTTTTCGCAAGTAGGCTCAAGTGCCGGACGGATTCCCGCCTATGTTTCGTTTTTGTTGTTGTTTTTGTTTTTCTCCCTGCGGCGCTATTTTCGCAGCGCAGGCCCGACCTGTGCCTCGCAGCTTCGCCTCCACCCATTAGCGCCGCCTCTGTGAAAACCACGGCGGACACGTTTTAAAAAAATGGCGGGAAACCTTTTAGCAGCAGGCAGCCGCAGCCAACGCAGTAGGCAGGTTCCGAGAGTCGTTTTCGTCGCTCTGTCTCTCTCGCCCCGGTACGGAACGCCCCGAGAGTGAGAGAGAGAGAGACAGAGCGACGAAGACGACTCTCGGAATCAGTCTGCAGCCAAGCTGCACTGCAGGAAGAACAGGAAGGAGGGGAGAGTTAAAAGGGCGCTAATGTTTTTCGCCGGTCTGACGCGCCGCCGATGCGATTGGATTAAATCTCCGATGTGATGCCGCCCCGCCGTACTCAGGGGTGGATCCGGGAGGGGGGATGCCTGAAAGGTAGGCAAAAAGCCGCACTTTTCCACCACCCTTTTATGTACAGACATGGTTTTCGTTTGCTCACCTCCCACCCCCCTTCTGAACCCGTCTCTGGACGGCCGTACATCACGGGCAAAACGGTAATCTGGTTTGTTCTACTCTTCATTCAAACTACGTAAGACTTTGCGCTCTTCTTCAATCGCACAACTACACTTCAAGGTCATTCCCCCGTGCATTTAGGTAGGTGAAAAGAAGCGCATGAGCTGTTACGCGCATCATGAAGGACGCTATACGTACGCATGTTACGCCATACTAGTTTTACAACCAGTGATTCCGACTTTCCCGACAGCGATTGTTGACAGAGCAGCAAAGCCTTTTCCCAGCCCGCCCCCACAAGTCTGTGGCTCCGCGAGTTGCCTAAAAAGCTTTCGCCAAGTCGGCTGCAAAGCGGGAAGCTCATTGGCTGTGGCTCCAGCGCGGCGCCGCGTTGCTTGGCAACCGTTTCTGACAGTGTACTCGTCAAGCCTGATCCGCGGGCTGAGCCCCACACCGCGGCCCCGTCACACAGTGGGCCAGAGAACCGGTGGAGGCGGCCAAAACTCCAGACACGTTTTGAGCTCCAGAGTCTCTAAATGGGACTCGAACCGATCGTGTGACTCCGCCAGTGCATTGCTCTCCGAACGAGGAATCCATTGGTGGGGTCACACGTTCGGTTGTAGTCCTATTTAGCGACTCACCGCCTCCACCGGTCTTCTGGCCCACTGTGCGTCAGGCTCCGCTGAACACCTGCCGCGTGGCGCCCCTCTAGGGTTGCCGCCCGGCGGCCCTGTGGGTGGCGCTAGGGTGGCCGCCCTCCCGGAGACTGACCTGGCTTTAGTTATCGGGCGAGTACCAGGCGTTGCAGGCTTCGGTGGCAACCGCACACAGGGCGTTCATCGTGTTGGCCGTGGTATCCACTTCTGGAACAAAGGAACGGCGTCAACATAGCTGCAGTGGGGTGCCCCGCGTGCGAGAGAGACAGAGCGACGAAATGAGTCGTCGGAATCGCTCGGCCGGAGAAAGGGGCGCATAGCCGGGAGGGCGGGGCAGCTCGGGGACGCGACGACGCACTAGGTCGCCTGCTTCCGAAGAGTCATTCCGTCGCTCTGTCTCTGTCGCACTCACGGGGCGTGCCGCATGGGTGCGAGAGAGACAGAGCGACAACACAATCTTTCGGATTCAGGTGGCTGGCCGAGAGGCAAGGGCAGTAGGGGGCAAGGGGCTGTTGTCGAGGTTGTTGTTGTTGTTGGCCTCACCCGCCATGGACCGCGCCTGGTCCGGAGAGCCCCGCTTGCCGAAGATGCTGCCGTTGAAGGGCGGCTTCCTGAAGGTGGCGGCGGCGGGGCCCGCCAGCAGCAACAACGCTGCCACCACCAGGACGACGAGGAGGGCGCGGACCTGCATGGCGCTGCGCTGCAAACCGAAAGGGCCGGGGCTGAGACGCCGCACAGTGGGCCAGAAGACCGGTGGAGGCGGCCAAAACTCTAGAAGCGCTTTGAGCTCCAGAGCCGCTAAATGGGACTCGAACCGAACGTGTGACCTCACCATTGAATTCCTTGTTCGGCGAGCTATCCATTGGTGGGGTCATCCGATCGGTTCGAGTCCCATTTGGCGACTCTGGAGCTCAAAACGCGTGTGGAGATTCGGCCGCCTCCACCGGTCTTCTGGCCGGAAAGTCACTTTCGTCGCTGTCTCTCTCGCACCCATGAGGCGTCCCGTATCGGTGCGAGAGAGACAGAGCCCCCAAAGCAGGATACATGCAGGCAGGTTGTGGGGGAAGACGCTTCGAAGTACATCTGTGGGTAGTATCGGAAATAGAACCGACACGAAGGACAATACGTAAACAGAGTGGCCTTGGTTGTCCATCGTCACAAGGAGTGAAACACCCTGGTTCTGGTCCTAAGGCGGCAAGCGAAGTGCCGCAGTGGTTCTCAACCTTGGAGTCGCGCACATGAAAATGTCGTAGGGTCACGGTGCTGGGGCAAGCGCGGATCTAGAAGGAAGGGCAGCCCCCCCCCTCCCTTTTCGAGGCAAAAAACAACACTTTGCACCTGGAAGTAAGCATAAAGTGCAACGCTGCTTCCCCCCTCCCCAGGCTGGACTCTGGATCCGCCACTGCCGGGGTCGTCGCCTGGGGTCGCGGTGGCTCTCCGGCACTTCCCGCCTGGCCTGCAGACTGATTCCGCTTAGTGCTTTCATCGCTCTTTCTCGCTCTCGCTCCTTGTGCGGGGCGCCCCACAAGTGCGAGAGAGACAGAGCGAGAGCAGTGAGTGGAATTAGCCCGCAGGCCGAGCGCTGCCGGGCACTTCGCGGAAACTGGAAAACCCACCGCCTGTTTGTCGCTGCACGGATGCTGGGCAGCGTGCAAGCGGACAAATCCTTCCAGGAAGGGTAAGGGAGAATTAGCTCCTAGGAAGTAAGGACATACTCCGTGTGCGAGAGACTTGACCTGACGCAGCCACAGCCGTGCCCAGTGGTTAGCGTTCAAATGGGGCAAGAAAACGATAAGTGCGGGCTGTCGTTCAAACGGGGCAAGAAAACGATACTAACTGGTGGTTGTCGTTCAAATAAGGCATTAAAACCATAACTGGTGGTCGTCGTTCAAATGGGGCAAGCAGAGTGACCGAACGGTGCAGTGTATACTCGTTCAAATGGCGCTGCTGGTCCTGGTCAAAGTGAATCTAGCGGGGCTCCGTCAAATGGGACCAGCAACTGACGCGCAGATTAGGACGAACTCCGTGACGCAGTGAGTGACGTCACGTCGTCCCACGCACCCTGTCGCTCTGTCTCTCTCGCCCTCATGGAGCGCGCCGCATCGGTGCGAGAGAGCGACGAAGCGCAAGGCTGTTTGCACCCACCTGACGGTGACGGGGTTGCGTGGGAAGAGAGGAAGACGGCGAACGGCACTTGTAGCGAGCCAGCGAGCACGGACTGTGTTTACCGAACTCTCCACCCTGTTTATATAGAGAGCCACCCCGGCACGGCGTGGTACAGCAGCTGCCAGCCCCCACCACGCCGCCACCCCGTTCACCCCGTTCACCCCGTGCGTCGCGCCGTGCGTCGTTCCCAGGGGAGGCGCGCCGAGGGGCACAGTGGGCCAGAAGACCGTTGGAGGCGGCCAAAACTCTAGACGCGTTTGAACTCCAGAGTCGCTAAACAGGACTCGAATCGAACGTGTGACCCCACCAATGGATTCCTCGTTCGGAGAGCAATCCATTGGTGGGGTCACACGTTCGGTTAAAGTCCTATTTAGCGACTCTGGAGCTCAAAACGCGTCTAGAATTCTGGCCGCCCCCACCGGTCTTCTGGCCCATTGTGAGGCGGCAGGGAAGGGGTGCAACAGCCTCCCTCCTGCATGGAAGCTGATTACGTCCAAAATAACCAGAGATGACTGCGCGCGCTGACGCTAGCGATATCCGGTCGGCCGTATTGCCTATTGGCGAGACAGGCCGCCGCGTGATTTAATTTCATTCCTGTGGCACAATTTCGCCTCTATCAAGGCCGGGCGATCTCATCGCCGGAGGAAATAGGGCTGGGACTGCCGAGGTCCCTCGGCGGACGGATTCCGAGAGCGGTTTTGGTCGCTCTGCCTCTCTCGCCGTCCTGGGCCTCCCGTATGGGTGCGAGAGAGGCAGAGCGACGAAAACGACTCTCGGAATCGGTCTACGTACAGTGCCACAGCGCCGCGCCACAGCGGCTGTCGGCCCGCGGTGGATGTGCTCGGCGAGCTCGGCCTGGGGTGGGCGGTTCACAGTGGGCCTAGAAGACCGGCGCCGGCGGCCAAAATTCTAGATGTGTTTTGAGCTCCAGAGTCGCTAAACAGGACTCGAACCGAGCGTGTGACCCCACCAATGGACTCCTCGTTCGGAGAGCAATCCATCGGTGGGGTCACACGCTCGGTTCGAGTCCATTTAGCGACTCGGGAGCTCAAAAATGCGTCGAGTATTTTGGCAGCCTCCACCGGTCTTCTGGCCCACTGTGCAGTGCTCCTTGCTACTTGTTGTCAGCGTTCAAGGGTACCAAATTTCTGGCCGCATTTTGCTTTTCACCCCACGGCACTCTTGGGCGATGATGTCTTTTCATTTGGGAGTTTATTTTAGTACGCAGGGGAGATGCAGAGGTTTTTTTCCGCAATTATTTTCCCAATGAGAACAGCGATTGTGTACAAAATTATCACATTTTGGTGAGCTGCTGGGCTGCTGGTGACGGATTTTCGTCTTGAAATAGCCCACGATGAGTTTTTATCTTCAGGCGTGAATCCAGGGGAAGGGGGGAGGCCGCCTGAGAGCTAGGCAGAAAGTCGCACTTGACCCCAGGCAGACAATTTTTGTTTCATGGTTTTCCCCTGAATTAATCTCTGGGTCCGTCCTTGGTTCTCCTTGGGCTTCTTCGCAATGGAAGCATAAGGACCCCCCCCCCCCCAAACCTCCCCTTTCCTACTTTGTTTCGAATAAAGAGCGAAAAGTGTCATCCTGAGGTATTGGCACGCCAATACTACACTACACTATCCATCATCTCGGTGCTCCTCGTACAGAAGTGAAGTTGGAAACGTGGGGTTTAGGTTTTCATTTCAGCGAGGTCAAGTGAAAGGAAGGAGGCGCCTCGCCTGAGCGGATGAGATGGAAGAAGAAATAGACACCGTTTTCCTTCTAGTTTCACTGGTGGTGGGGGGCTCTCATTTTTTCGTTCGTTTACAGTTTGTCGACGACATTACTAAACAAAGTTGCATCTTCTAAAGTCTGCTCATGTTTTTGGAAAAGGACTTGGGCGATTCTCTGATTCAAAGAAACGAATTCAGCCTTGCATCTAGCGGCCAAGGTAGCGAGCGGGAAAGTGGGGTGGGGAGAGGAGGGAGAGGGGGGAGAGGGGCGCGGTGGAGAGGGCGGAGCAGGTGGCAGAGTCGGGAACTACTGACACGAAAAAGTAAATGTGAACCGACTGGTGTCGCGCAAGCACTGAGACTCGTGCGTTTTCAAAGACAAATCCGGATAAAATTGTGTTTTTTCTTCCGCGCCCTTTGTTTTCTCCTCCCGAGCGGAGACGGCGCCGCGCCGACTTCTGCCCAGCACACCTGTTGCACGTCACGCGGTTGGTACGAGTGGTATCATAGTAAACAAAGAGAAAAGTTGCAAGATTAAAAGACAATCACTCCGAGCCTGCAGCTGCAGCAGCCCACTTGAAACTCATTGAACTGCAGGCTTTCATCGAGCGAGGGCTGAATCTGAAATGATGGTCTGAAACCCTGCGCTCTCTCGTCCATCGCCGCCGACCAGCCGCGCGCCCGAAACGAAAAGGTAAGCAAGAGTCGCGCACCTGCGAACTCTCAGCGGAGTTGGCATGGAGTGCACTGATAAGCTTGAAATGGGCGGACCTTGAATTTACTTGTACGCTGACTGAGTTTTCTCGATTCCCTCCTCGTTCGGGAGTGGAAACGCGGCTCCGGCCCTTGTTCCTTGTTCGGCCGCGCGGACCGCGAGTCTCCTCGCGTAGGCGCGCGGGGCACCCATTCATCGTAAGGTGTGCGTTTGTTTGTAAACGAGGCGAAACAACAACAACCTGTTGAGGCTGGGCTGGAAACTCTTGCAGTGCGGGCCGTGCCGTCCTGCAGCACTCCGCGCTTGTCCCGTCCGGCGCGTGGTCTGTGAGGTTACGCGATTTGGGAGGAAAATGGTGCGTGATTTCGGGGTCGGGTCCGATGTGGCTAGGCGTGCGTGCGGACATAACCTCTCCGGTTCTTGCTTTGTTCTCCACCAACAAGTCGCAAGGCCTGCTGAGTCAACTGTTGGCTGCGTTGTTCTTCCGCTATTTGCTTCGCTGTGACTTAAAACGTTGGAGTTTTTTTGGCGTTGAGTTCCGACCACATGTTTTCCGCGAGCTACATGTGTGTAAACCTGTTCCTGTGTTCTGTGAGTGGTGATGGTAATAGTTTGTTATACTTTGATTCCAGAACATGTCTTCCACTTCCGAACATGATACAAGCTCTGAAACTATGATGGATCTCAGTTTTGATAAGTCCAATGAAAGTGGTGTAGAGTCGGGGGATGACATATCTGGTAGCAGTGCTCCTCTTGACGTTGATATTAAGCCAAAGGACCTCTCGGTGAAGTGTAACATAAAGCGGCTGAAACCCATCCCTCCACCGCTCAACTTGAGAAATGATGATCCCGAACCATCCAATGGGGTTTTAACCACCCTGAAGGAGTTTGCAATCATAGCCACAGGACCCCACAGCCCCCTAATTCAGAAAAACCTTCCATTCAGAAAAAGGTATTTGGTTGAATTTGTTTTTGTGGTTACTTACTCTTTGGTTAAGATATTTGACTAAGCCCTCCTTTTCTTTTCTCTCAGAGCCCACAGTGTGCCTGATGCTGTTGAAATCGCACCCATGTCTGCTCCTCCAACTGTTCTGAAATTCTCTCCTGCCTTATTCAAGCAAGAGCAATCTCCCGATGGTGGATCCAGTCCTCCTCTCAATTTATCACTGCCTCCTACTCCAAGAGAGAGCACAAGTCCTCTTGAAGCCTCTGCTGTTGTCTCATCCACCCGACCAGAAGTGGCATCTCCCTTGATCTCTAGTTCATCTCACCCTTCATCAGAGTCTCAGCACCAAAATTTGGCTCAGCAACCATTTTCTCGTCACCTCATTCCTCCTTGGAGTCCGTTTCTCCCTTCCCCGTCCATGATGTCTGGCCACTGGTTAAATGGGTCACCATCGGCACTACTCAGCCCTGCCCCGTCATCTTTAGGCAGTAGTCAGGAAGACCTGCGCCTCCCTGCCCCGCTGCCTCTTTCATCTGTATCAAATTTAGTCTATGAAAGTGATCCCTGGAGGCTTCCCTGGCCTTATCCTGTGTGGCACTGCTTCCAGATGGGTAAGTTAGCCATTTGTTCTGATAAGTCAATTTGCATCCCTTGGCATGGTTAAGATATCTGATGAATTTGATGTTCTCTTTCAGGAACTTTGTTACGCTTCTCCATTAACAACTCTGACATAGTGCTGCGTGCAGAGGAAGTTAATCAGTGCAACGAATTACAATATTACACTCCAGAGAGAGTGGGTCCACTCCTTGTTCAGTCCATTAGTCCCAAGGATACTGGTGTGGTAGACATAACATTTTCATGTGTTGCCCCTGGTCTGTCTGCTGATATAAAGCTTGTTGCCACTTGTTACTCTCACCATACGTTCTTGGTCATGGAAAAAGGTAAAAAGTTTTTCTTGATGTCTTTGCTTGTGTTCTGTTTCTTGTATTTCAAACTGTTGACACTTTCCTGTACTGTTCTCAGGTTGGTCAGCAGTGAGTCCTGAATTAGTCCTTCGGCAGTATGGCATCCAATGTCAGCTGCTGGAAAGTGGGGATTGCTGTCCACAGCCACCAAAGGTGCCGGCCGTGTCGTCACCTGGCATTTGTGAGAAGTTCAAAAGGTAAGATAATGAACAAAGCAATCATTCAAGTGTAGTTCATTTTAAAGGAGTGTCTTAAACTTTGTGTATATTATTTCAGGTTCAGCTTCTCACCTGAAGAATTGGGTTCACCCCTGCCTACTCCTAGTTCGTTGCTTCTGTCTCCGCCAAACACACCCACTATGAAAAGTCAGCATTCTCAACATGCATATCAGAAGGCAACCAATCAGGCTTCTCAGTCATCAAAAGCTGCCAAATCGAAGCAAAAAGCTGGTAACTGTCAGACAACAGAGAAACCCCCTAGAGCATCAACCAAAATTCCCTTGGATCCTGACAGGCCCAAGAGGCCTATGAATGCTTTCATGTTGTTTGCAAAACAACACCGATTGAAGTTGATCCGCATGCATCCTGGAAAGGATAACAGGTGTGTTTTTGATCTGGTTCTTATTGTGCTCGACTGTGCCAGAATAGGTTTAGGGAATAATTCAGTTCTTCTCTTTCTCAAATTATAGATTTGTTAGTGTGATTCTGGGAGAAGCATGGCGACAACTTCCTGCCGACGAAAAGGAAGTTTTCATTGCTGAGGCCAAGGCTTTGTCATCTGAGCGAAAGAGGCTTAATCCAGATTGCTGGAAGCGAAGAAAGACCCAACCACCAGGCGCTGGTCCGGTAGGTGCTATCAAGGCTGAAGCAAGTGATTAAAGAAAGACAATTTTAGATTTGTTGTTCTTTGTGTTACATTAGTAAGGTGCTGTGCAGCATAACAATGCTCTTTTCTTTTTCTTGTTTTTCTTTAAATTGATATTTATGATACCAGTTGTGTTTGTTGATCTGAGAGAGGAATAATGTTCCATATTTTAAGTGTAATCTTCAATGTGCCTCTTTTTAACTAATTTAAGTAGTGGAGTCATGATAGAACAATTAATCCAAATTTGATTTGCATTCTTTGTGATATTTGTCTGCAAGGCACATTCAATATCATCTCTTGCCAGATATTTTTTAATCAGTAAATCAGAACATCTGGAGGTTCTATGTTAAGGTGAAGCATGTGGTTTCTCACCTTAATTTTTTGTTTGTTTGACCTTAGTTATAAGATTTTTAAAACTACTTTGTTTCAATCTTTTTGGAAATTGTCCGTCCTGTTATAGATCGAAGAATTGAGTGGCTACAATCTATTTGAGTTGAGCAATTGCCATTGATCATTATGCCAGATGTCTTTCTTGTTAAGATTTGTTTGTCAGTCACTATCATGATCTAGTGATTCTTTTAAAACTGATATTTTTAACTGTGTGTATTTTAAGGAACTTTTAAAATATTTGACTCCAGAAAGACATTTTTGCTTCAGGAAGAGCCCAATGACGATATTGAAGGTGCTTCAAATTTTAGGTATTCTGAACTTCTACTTACTGTATGTGCTGAAACTTTTGTTTGGACAGCACAAGACCAAGATTGGTTGTTGCTCATTTGACTGTAATAAAATTTATGATGTTCAATGTTGAGGAGCTGCATTAGACCACATCATATTTGTTTTGATGTTAGGAACCAAGTTACCTTCAAAGTATACTCTACAGACTCTTTCTGTAACCTTTGTGCTGCCATACCTTCAGCATGTTCGGAATGTTGTTTCTTGTATGTACTTATAGGTACGTGGCCTCATTTGCCAGCAGTTTTTGTATCTCTTTAGTGGGCCTTGCTAGGTAGCAATTAAGCAAACTGGAGTATAGTGTAACGTGAACAAGTGAGATGAGGGTTATTTCCTTCAATGTGAATTTTGTATTAATTAAGTTCAGTATAATAGAGTGGTGCTCAATTGAGATCTCACTTAGTTTATTCAGCTGCAGCTGTGATGTTTTGAAAGGAAGGATGAAAGTTTGGTTCAACCTTTGGTACTGATCTAAAACTGTTAAATCTTAAGGTGCAGATATTTTATTTTTATTTGATCAAAAGTGTGCCATATAATATGGTGTTGTCATGATATTCTTTTCTAATTCTGCTCCTATTTCAAAATACATGCAAGAATCGCTCAGTCAATAGGGTAGTTTTAAGTGAGAAATTGTACAGGAGAAGTTCAGTACATATTGATTTGGTCTGGAACCAATGTGCTTGATGACATCAATACCTGAGAAGTGAATACCTACGTACTTAGGCCGTGTTCATGTTTTCAGATAAGGTTTATACCAGTGCAACTCATTGTTGATGCTTCCGGCTACTGGGCTGAAACCAAATCCATACCCTGCTGTTTAAATTGAGTATGTAACACATGCTAGCCCAAGCCTCCTCGTTACTCAAGAGTGCTTGGCTTCCAAGTTTTCAAATTAGTTTTAAAACTTGTTGAATGGTTTTCAGGGTATCATGTAGTGAAAAACATATTCTATAAATATTTTTATGTTTCTTTTTTTTTTAAATGTTTAAATTTTTTAAATAGTGTAGAAGGTCTAAGAAGTCTTTCAGGAAGAAATGAAATGAAATAAGGAAGTGTATATGTGATATAGAAAATGTGAATCCCTTCAATTAAGATGACATTAATTTTGTTATGTATTTTATCCCTACTTAAAGAAAAAACAAAACAATAAAAAACAGACAGATTGCTCATTGGAATGACACCTGTGACTTGTCAATCTTTGGCAGATGCTATTTAGTTTAGCATCAACTGTCCATATTTACGTAAATTAGGGAACATATTCTCATGTTACTGTAATTATATTTTTCTTGTATTACAATTTTATTATGAAACCTATTATGATGTATCTTTTCATTATTTACATCTTTCTTGAAGCCCTGGTGCTTCACAAGTGATTGCATTTAATTGTGAGATAATTGTTTTGTTTTTGTTTACTTTATAGAATGAGACTTTAAAAAGTGAAATTTCATTCAAGAATCAAGTAGTGTGTCTAGCTTTTCTTTTGGAAGATCTCAATTCCCTGTGGGGATTTTCAGTCAATGCCCATTTCTCCCACAGCAAAGAATGTCTTCGATCTCAGTATCTAGTTAAGCTCATCTTCATTAAGAAATCAGTCCTGAAATTCTGCTAAGGAAAGGATCAAAACTGTATCACCTAACATTTTTTGTTGTTCCTTCAGTTTACTTTAGTTCTACACATGACATTCTTCATGACGTTTCTCTCGATTTAGCTTTAAGTGGACAGATGTGAGCTTGTAAATTATGACAAATATCAAGACCTGCATTTTTTTCCCAAACTTCTAAGCAATCAAGTTAAGATTCTGTTTCATAAATTTTTAAGTTGGACAAGCATATGTGGAAATGGTTGAAAGCTTTTCATGGATAATTCACTACCTTCCTTTGCCTATCTCTCTTTGTAAGCACTGATTTGTGGAACATCTCAGTGAAGTTCTTGATCTCAAATGTCCAACTGAAATTTTTCAGACAAAACAAACGAATTCTTAATTATTGATTCTAATGTAATTTTTGTCACCAAGATGATATTTTGGGCCTTGTTCTTTTACCTTAGATTCACCGTTGTGTACCGATTTATTTATTTACCCATTTGCCGCTGATGGGATAATACTTGAGTTACAACATGGTTGGTAGTACTTTTGACAATCTATCATGAGCTAATGATGTAAAATAGATGAGTGAGGAGAAGGGTAACACCTTTGGAAACCTTACCACAACTTTGCTACCTATCTGCGAGTATACAGTAATTTTCATAAATCCACTTATTAAATTGTGTTCATTCTGAGGGAATGCTGTAGCGTGGAAGATGTTTGACAACCTGTGCCCTGCCATTGTCAGCCTTGATCTCTATATTTTGCACAAGATGCCACCTTTGTCTTTCATCAAGTTTTGCCTAAATGTAATATTTAATTTTGTTTTTCCTCTCTGCATGCAAGAGAATTGTAGATTATTCCATATTCTTATTTTCTTATTGAACGTTTTAAATTTCAACAACTTTTACTTATAAATAAATGTTGTCTTATGACCCAAGCAAATGTCTTGATTTTCTTTTACCTTGAGAAACCATTGCTTTGAGTGGCAAGTTGTTTCATTGGTACTCAGTACGGAATGGCATGAAAACTGTGACATGAAATCAACCATTCTTTGAAGGTTAACACACTACATAAGCTTTATTCATATGATGCACCACTTTGCCAAGACAATATCAGCAGAAGCAACAGAGAACTGCTACTAAGACACAAAGAGATACCTGCAGACCAGGTATTTTAAAATACAACTTGAACACAGAAGGGTGACTTAACGCTCTTATTCAGAGCATGGTAGACGAACAACATACTAATGCTAAGACTAGTTCAAGAACCACCTAACAGATCGAAATTTCTACCTGCCAATACCATTTCTCTTAAATTAAGTTCAATTCCTACCCACAATGATGTATATCAACAATGTTGCCAAAACAATGTCACAAGGAACATCCTTAAATCAGACCAAACTAGCTAGAGGTGAATGAATAATTTCCACAATCTAGAAGTATGCAAGAACTCTACGACTTCTCTACTAAATATTTTTAAAAAATGCACCCACAGAGTGCATGAAACATCAATTACCTGTACGACACAATCAATGCAGTGATTGCAAAGAAATAAGATTCATATTTTAATGTACTCTACAGAAATGTGCAGCTTAGCTTCCTTAGTTTTGGAACAGTTAAAAATGTGCACAGAAACGAATGCATGCACACTAGTCACTTAAATTAATAACACACATTATCAAGAAGATTCTTTCACCAATTAAGACCAGCAAAGTGCACAGTAAGGTAAGCAATCACTAATTAGGAAGTAACATCACATATATATCTTTACAGGAGATCCAGCCTCCTTTACTCACTACTGTAACAAAAACTATAACTTCTTTATGTTTCAAACTTTACTTAGGGGTAATAAGCTAAGATAGAACAAAACTGTTCCACCTATCAGTTAGAATTTCTTCTCATAGATGAAGACAGGGTAACACTTGGCACAATGGTTTAAAGAATTAGTACACTAAAGACATAATCAAGGTTCAAACATTCAAATTGCAGAAAAATTTAACAATTCTAAGGATACATTGTGTCTGTTAAGATACAATGCTCACACTCCTTGTATTATTTTGCACATAAAAAGCTCCATATACACAAACAAGTGTTAACGTAATTATACGCACGCCGGCATGCAAACAAATTTTATATAAATTAGTGAATACTTTCATATTACATATTCAATTGTTAGTTTCAATACATTGCACAAACACTAAAATATTCTTTATGAGAAAAATAAGTTTGGAAATAGACAAAATTTGCTGTGTAATTCACACTGAAAACTAATAACATTTTTTTTTAATGAAATTACTGCAGCTAAAATGTATTATTGTGGTAGATCACTTAAAACTTACTCATCAAATCTAAATTAAATTGCTTCAGAGCTGGAGGAAGCATTAAGCACCCAACAATGGCTCTCATCTAAAACGAATACTGATAAGATTCAATTCACTACGGACAGGTTTGTCCAGAAAACAATTCTCACCAACTGACTCAAAATTGTGCCAATTAAATGATAAATATCAATCAAATCCACATGGCATAAAACATCACAAAACCCACTGTTGAGAATACTCATCACATACATTGGACCAACATAGAATTTTAAATTACAGTTAAAGGGAGAAGAAATTTCCTCAACCCTTAACTGAAAAATTCAACACCATAGAAATCCTAATATTTCATTTACAATCAACAAACTGCATTCAATCAATGCTTAATGAAGCAAAAAACAATGGACGCAAAACTGGTATGACACCCTGTTTTGCTCTCACTGCACAAAACAACAAATCTCTTAACACTCCAAACAAATTGGCCAAAATGCCCTGTGTCGCCAGGTTCCAACCCATGCAACATACATCCCATCAAAGGCAGGACAGAGCAAATTACCAAATCTCATATCAACCTGTCAAGGTATGATAGAGAACAACAAATTTAATTCCAGCTTGATGCTAGTGCCACCTCAATGAGGTGGGTAAGGCGAATACACAACTTGAGGTGGAGGAAGTTGTGTGCCACCAGATGACGCATTCAAATCATAAAGCTGGTAATCAGATTCAGAGCAGGTGTCAAGGTCACACACTGGTATCTCAGAGATATCCAGCATCGATTGGCCAACCTGAAAAAGAAGTTATAAATTAAGAATTAAAAAGGTAAGGTTCAAAATTAGACAAGTCCATGCCTTATGCAGCAGTAACACACCTCAAACTCTTTTTCTGTCTGAATAACAGGCACAGCTGTTTGGCAAAAAGGTGGACCAGCCTGAACATCCACTAACCACTCTGCATCAAACGGGAACAAGAAAAAACACATTAGAGATGTGATCGATTTCTTATAGAAATGTTTGAATCACGGATCGAAGCCTTACCAGCCATGAAGAGATCATCATCTTCTGTAGTCAATGATGCCTCTCCAAGAGTGGTCATATCCTCAATGGATGTGTCATTCAATTCTTCACACAATAAGTTGGCCTTTGGAGAAGAAATTTCAGAGGACTCCGCCAGAATTTCATCCGCTCCCTCAACAGGTGACATGTTTGCGTGAGACATCATTAGGCATACTGAAAATTGAAAATCAATGTCATCATAAAAGTCTTCTCTAAAAGTAAACAAGCAAGGTATGAAAAAATTCAAGTGTGTCACGTACCAGCCAATGTAAGATCATCATCTTCTTCTGTCAAAAAGGATTCAAGCTGCATTCCTACTTCAGATTCAACAAGAGAGTTCTCAGAGACGCCAGACTTTGTTTTTGTTGCTTTACCATCAAAAATATTTGATTCACATGAATCTATGCTTGATCCTTCTGACTCCACAGAGGTCTCAGAAATGAACAGTTCAATTTTTGATGATTTGCAACCAAATATTTTAGATGCACATGAATCAATACTTAACACTTCAGTGCTCTCAGAAATGCTCGATTCATTTTTTACCAATTTACAATCATCTTTCTCTCCAGTCAAAAATGATTCAAGCTGAATCCCAACATCAGATTCAGTGAGAGAATTCTCAGAACTGCATGATTCAATTTTTGTTGTTTTCCCATCAAACATGTCAGATTCATATGAATCAATACTTAATCCCTCAGAGCTCGAATCAATGGCGTTTGATGCATTAATTCTTGAAATTCTATTCTCTTTAAATTCTGCAGAAGCATTGTGAAGTTTTTCTGCTCGTGTCTTGCCCCTTTTGCGAAGCTAGAAACAGCAAAAGTAAAAATGGTATCAGTCATCACACCCTCCCTTATCTCAGAAGAATTTTTTATTTGGTTCCAGGACTTTACTGAATTTTGATTTTGATACAATACCTCCTTGTAGGATTTATCAGCGTGTTGGCTACGGACATGCTGCAACAACTTTGCATTGGTAGCGTACTGCTTGTGGCACCAAGGGCAATGTTCTGCTTTCTTCGCAACAGTTCCAGCAAGTTGATCAAAAGAACCATTCCCTGTCTGTGTGAGAAATGAAATGTCATAGTTACAGCCTGCTAAAGTGACATGTGACAAGTGTGGTATTCACCAATAGATCCAAACAGACCTTGACAGCCCCAGGATGAAACTTCATGATGTGAGCCTTTCTCTTGGCATTGCTTTTGTACACCTGGAAAATTAATCATAGCTTAATATTTTATTACAGAACTAATCACAACATCATCAACATAAACTAATTTTTACCTTTTCACACAGATGACAGTAAAAATCTCTGGTGGTTTTCATGATAGGCAAATTGAGTTCAGGCACCTCATCAGGAGCAATATTAGGATGATACTTGGCAATATGGTTGACCAACATCCCTCGTCGTTTGAAACCCAGGAGGCACGGCTTGCATTTGAATAGGTATTGTTCATTCAGATCACGAAGTTTCCTTTCAATAGTCTTTTCTGTGGACTTCTTCCTATTCTGTAAATGCAAAATAAAATGAAAAATAAAACAGAAGCCAAAATAATCAATTCACAGCCACTCATCGCAATACATACATTTTTCTTATCATCTTCAGTTTCGGATGTATCATTTGGATTCTGAATTTCCCAGCTATGTAATCGTCTTATATGTTCCTTCAACTTGTCACTGCGTTTGAATTTTTTCTCACATCTCTCACAAGTATATTGCTTTTCATCAGAGTGCCTGGAATTAAAGGCAACATTTTGAATATACATTCAATAAATGACTGTCCACTGAGTCAGTCGATAGATGTTACTTACCTCAACATATGTTCTTCATACTTCTGTGCACTGGAGCAAAAGCGATCGCAAAGAGAACACTGAACACCAGCACTTTTGTGAATCTTTGTGATGTGCTTCCTGATGCTCATGTATCCAGAGTATACCTGTGGCATATAGGGTGCACAGTAAGCAATTGTCGTTGAGTTTAAAATGACTTTGGCAATTAAGAAAATAATTATTACTTACCTTGCGACAAAAAGGGCACGAAAAGGAGCCATTATCTGAGTGACTAGCAACATGTCTTTTCAACCCATCACGATTGCAGTGGGTCTCTTTGCAAATGGAACATTCCCACAGGGAGCCCTGACCTGGAAAACATGGCACACAATGAAAAACGTGAGAAACAGGCTACTTAACCGTCAGAATACATCTTTTCCCATTTTAAAAGAGGGTAAATTCACCGTTGTGAGTTCTCAGGTGACTTCCCAGAGCTGAATTGTTGAGAAATCGTTTGGAACAAATGTTGCATTGTTTTGGCTTGAACTCTTCCGAGCCATGGGCCCTCAGGTGGTTTTCAAGACGGTCTTTAGCAGCAAATCTCTTGTGACACGATGGACAACTATGTGGCTTGGTACACACGGGCATATTCGGGAACGAGATTCTGTCCCGAAAAAGCACCCGTGAAGAGAAACATGAATCTCCGATGCGATTTGACCTGGACCTGGTGGACGGGACGAGATCTAGCAGACGACACAGCTGCACGCAGGTTCAGATAAAAAAAAAACTCCCTAGCAACGCCCTAGCAACGGGCACGCTGGGCCACCATATACATAAACAAAAAACATAACCTTCGAAAGACCAATCTGTTCTTGCATAAAACTATCAAATTGGCCATGTTGCAGGTTTCAAATTTTGATTTCTGTTGATTCCGAGGTCCCCTGAGACCGAGTGAAGTGTCCCTGTGGTATGAGTCAAGAACGAGGCACTTCCTGGGCCCAGCGACGTTCTCGAGAGGAAGAACAATGCTCGCCTGCAGACTGGACCAGAAGCAGTGCCCTCGTAGAAGAGCTGCTCGAAACAGAAACCAGTGTCATTTCAGACCGAAATATGGCAATTTTGAAAGAGCAAAGACAGACTGGATCAATGATAGACCCTGCACTTATGAGTGATGTTCGGCACAATAAAGTGAGTAACCACTGTCTACGCACACCTCCAGTTTACTTCTTTCTTAACTTTTCAATATCTACTTCTTTGTTCTTTTGATTTCAGGACATTCGTTCGACTATAAGTTCTGGCAGGTCCCCACCGACTAATTCGGAAATTTTCATGGAAGCCAAGAGGTAATCAAAGTGCTTTTTGTATGTTTGGTTTATTCATTACAACTATAAGCTCACGTGTCAAACTTCTCATTTCCTTACAGAATGTTAAAAAGGGAAGAAAAGGCAAAGAAGATTATTACCATTCAGAATAAAATTGTTGATAATGAAGTTGATCGATTTCAGAATCACATTACAAGCTTGCGCAAAATGAATCAAAAACTTGAAAGACTTGCTTTTCCAGCCCCTAACTTGGCAAGAAGAAAGACGAGCAAGGGGCACCTCTTCCATGTACCTAGTTTGGTGCCCAGTGATGGTGCTTCTAAAATACACAGTTTGCAGAATAATCATCTCGACCATGATATATTATCAAAAACTAGTGGAAATGTCACTGTGATCAAACAAGATGATCACTGTAGACAACCCTCTGACCTGAGAAAAAAGTCAAGTTTAGCGATTTCTGGTCAAAAAATGGAGGAACATGATATACTTCAACACAATCCAGCTCTAGTCTACCAGTCTTCATCTGAAAGTCAAAATACAGTTTTTGAAAGAATTCATCAGAAGTATATTGAATCAGAAAGAAATCGTGTGTTGAAGGAAGGAGCAGCTTTTATTAGACACTCTAGTCCAGTTAATGACGGTGGTGGTCTTGTTACTCAACTAACAGCTACCAATGCTCCAAAATTTTTGCCAGTCGCAAAGGATCATGTTCATTTAGCGGAGTGGGTGGAAGATGCATCTTGTTCCAGTAATTTTAAGGAACCTGATATTCAGAAAACAGAAGTATGTATGGAAGAATGGACTTTGCCATCAAATGGATGTGAGATCAAGCAGGCTCCTAAAAGATTGACTGATGTTGAGAAATCAGAATTATCAACTAAAACTTTGCCGCATGCTGCCACTGCATTGAAGAAAGCTGAGCTAAATAAATTAGAAAGCATGAGTAAAATGTATGCCAAGTGGATGTCAAAAGTTTGTGTAACTCCAGGCACAAAGTACGAACACCTTGGTCCATGTAAAAGTAAAGTAGAACAGGACAAAGCCATAGGCCATAATTCTATCTCAAGGGAAGAGAAAATAATGCAAGTTTTGCATGCTATACAAAAGCAAAAGGATAACAAAACAAACGTCTCCATTGATATGCAAGCAGATAAGTCTCGTTTTTCCAAATCTGTTAATGATATCCGAGAAGAGAAAATTGAACCAGAGACAAAGTTCAGAAGAGCTATCAGCGGTTCTTACGAACATCGAATCAAAGCCCACAAAGATCTTATTTCGCATCAGAAAGCAAAATTGGAAGACCAGCAGAAGCAAATTGAGGAACTGAAATTGTCGCAACTCCGAATGGAAAATGAAAAGTCTCAAATGCAAGTTAAGAAAACATTGAATGAGGTAATGGATTCATGTAATCAAAAAGTGAAAGCTCAAGCAAAATCGCTGAAGTCCTCACTATCCCTAGCCGATTTATCTCCTGGAAATGATTTTGTACTTCGTATGGAACAGAGAGCTGTAGAACAGAAACAAAGAAAACTCATTACACAGGAACGCAGAAAACAGTTGGAGGAAGAGAGGAAAAGGAAGATGAAAGAAATGGAAGAAAGAAGGCGTCAAGAGGAGGAAGAACTTGCAAAGAAAAGGCATGATGAAGCAAGAGAGATGCGAAGAAGAGAGAGGGAGTTGAGAGATGAGACAAGGAGAGAGAGGGAGAAATTTATTGCTTTAGAAAGGAAAGCTGACCAATTTCTGAAAAACAAAAGGTTGAGATATGGTCTTTTAGGATTTAAAAAGCTTGTGAATCTAAGAAAAGAACAAGAGAATGTTGCTGTTGAATTTTATGACCGCAGTCTCTTGCGTTCTGCTCTAAGAGTATGGAGAAGAGAAGTTCATTTAAGACTTGAAGCCAAAATGGATTGTGCTGATAACTTCTTTGCCTCCAATCTTCTGCATCGCTGCTTTAATGCTTTCAGAATGGTAAAGCAAATTGTTCATGGATTCTTAATATGTTTAGTTAGCTTTTGAGTGTCTTAATATCTCTAGTTCTTTAATTATGTTTAATTTAGGCAGTACACGAGAGAATGAGACGTATGCAAGTAGCCATGGACATGCATGATCTTCACCTGCAAGAAAGATACTTCCATTTATGGCTCAAGTTTACCCATGAACAGCAAGAAATGGAAGCAGAAAAAATGGCCAAGGCTGATCTTTACTTCTCCAAGTTCGTATTACAACCAAAATTTCTTGATGTGTTAATAAAATTGAAAGAAAAACTTTAGAAGAAAACTCTAAACAATGGCATGTTTATTTTCCAGAGTATTACTGAGAAGGCACCTCCATCTCTGGAAAAAATATCCTGAGGTCGCACAGTTAGAAAGGGAAAAAGAGCGGCGCAAAATGATGTGGAGGAACAAAGTTCAACAGCTGCTGCCCGATTTCCGTCCTGTTTTAGCTTCTGATTGATGAGGTTTCATCTTAATTTTATGAGATGTGTACAAAGATGTATTGAGTTGTGAAATGACTTGCAAAGATTATTTTCAGTTACTTTCCACAAAGTAGCAGTATCAAATTTTCCCTAGTCATTAGTTATAAAAATATCTCACACAAGTTGAGTTTAATTATTTTGTTGTGTTTAATTGTTATTGACTATTATGAATATTGTTTACTGTGCCTTGTTATTTTTCTGAAAGTCTAGTCGCAAATGTGTCCACCCATGTGTATTGGCCTACCTGAAATAGTGGGAAGTGAGGACAAAAGAAATTTAAACTTTTTCTTTAATTTTTTCCCATATGGATAATTTAATTTTCTGTTCATTAAAAATAATTAAAATGGCATTTTTAACTTCAAACACATGTTTCTGAAAACTCATAGTCTGATTGCACCTGAAATGAGATAAGTGTTTATTGTGTTTTAGACCAATCGATGTTTAAGAAAGTTTAAGAACTACAGTAATATAAATTAGGATTGATAATGTCTTACCTTTATTCCAAGAGAAGGACCATGGAGACTTAAGTGGTTTATCGTCAGTCTGTGATAAACTGTTGAAGCTCTGTCTGCCTTGGTTCTTCAAGCTGAGTTTGTTGTATCTAAAAAGTTTCTCGGGATGGTTCTGGTATTGGCTCGGCCGCTGACGAACTGTGAAACAATTAAAAATAAATCGTCATTCTGAGAATTGTTTCTCTGTAGAGAAATTGCCATGTCGTTAGAGGAAAATGTCCCCGGAAGCAAAATGTCAGTCTCAGAGAGACATCTGGGCCTGTCCGGGATTTGAACCCGGGACCTCTCGCACCCGAAGCGAGAATCATACCCCTAGACCAACAGGCCATGCTGAAGGCCACCGTAAGACGCGCACTTGAATCCCTGGCTGTACAGTGGTGGTGGGGGAAGGAGTGGTGGGGGCGCGATGCGCGCGCAGCCGCGGCGAGGTGGAGCGGTGATGCGGCTCGCCTCCGCGCGGCCAGGGAGGGACAGAAAGTAGTGCACGGTACACTGGTACAGGGCGAGGCGAATGGGAGATGGGATGGGAAGTTGCTTGCAGGTAGACACTGACTTGACAGAGACACTCTGGCCCGTTGCTTTGCAGCCTTTGGGGCTTCCCTACGCTTCCCTACCAGGCACGCACGTCCCCGATGCCGGGCTGCACTCCAAGCCGGGGCCGCACATGGTGGTGGCGGGGATGGACACGCTCTTGCAGTTCTCCGTTTGGCCTGCGACACAAAACGACAGCCGTGAGCTCTCTTCAGATGAATGGGCCCACTCGCCCGCTCCAGGCGGCCCAAACCGGACGTCTTGTGGTTAACCAGGGGGAATGCGCGCGAGCATTCAAACATTTTTCCCGGTGTGCGCACCTAGAACTTGAACGTTGTCGTGCTGCACACTGATGCTTCCGATGCTCCTCACGACCGGCTGCGTGCGGCCCAGCTCCACGCCCGCGGCCGCCACCAACACGAGCAGGAGCCACGCATCCTCCATCTTCAACAACAAACTTTTACACTGAAAAACAACAACAGCATTTACACTGGAAAACAACAACAACACCTCCAGTGAAAAAACAGGAAAAACACATCCTCTGTAAAATCAGCCACTACACTTCCACTGAAATCCGCCTGCTACACTTCCACTGGAAAACGACAGCTCTTGCGTAGAACAAAAACAACAGTTCCACTGAAAACAACACTACTTCCACTGAAAAATAACAGGTCCGTTTCCATTGATTCAACAACACTTTCACTGAAAAACGAAACAACGGCACCTCCACTGGAAAACAACAACAACAACACCTTGGCGAGAGCGTCCTCCGCGACGACGCGCGCGTCCTGGGGAAGGCTTGGCGCTGGCTGGCGCTTCTCAAACTTCACACCGGCGCTTCAGACCGCCGACTGGTGTGGTGTGTGCTCTCGCGCGGCGGCGCCACGCCGAACGGCCGCCGGTGCCGCGGCCCCCTAGGTCCTCGCGCTTCGCGCCGCCGGGCCTCTTGTCGTTGTTGTTTTCGTTTTTGTTGTCGTCCATCGCGCGCAATTATTCGAACGGGGCGCGCCGGCGGAGGATGGCCCAAGGGCTTATCTCGCCACTTTGCGGGCCGACAAAGGGATAGGGCGGTCGCTCTGTGTCCCTCGGACTTCGAAGGGGCGCACTGTGCGTCGCTGTGCGTGCGAGAGAGACGGAGCGACTCCACCACCACTGTACGGCGAGCGCGCTCGTTCGGCCAGATCGCGGGGCGCAGTGGGCCAGAAGACCGGTGGAAGCGGCCAAAATTCTAGATGCGTTTTGAGCTCCAGAGTCGCTAAATGGGACTCAAACTGAGCGTGTGACCCCATCAATGGATTCCTCGTTCGGAGAGCAATCCATTGGTGGTGTCACGCGTTTGTTTCGAGACCCATTCAGCGACTCTGAAGCTCAAAACCGTCCGGAATTTTGACCGTCTCCACCGGTCTTCTGGCCCACTGTGGGAGGGTCTTGGGGGCGTGAGCGTTATCTGAGCCTGCGAGGCGTGAGTACCACACTGGAAGAGTACGGCGGGGAGGTTTTTCGGTTTTTCTATGCGTCTGGTAAAGAACGTAAAGTTATCGTGAAGAAAAGAAAACCTGACCAAACTGGGGCAGCGCCGCGCACCGTGTCTTGGGAATGTTTCCGTTTTTAATTGTTGTTGCTGCTGATGTTGTTGCTGAACGCAGTCGGATATGGCTGCGCCCATTTCCATGCCCTCGTTCAGAAAGAGGCCGTTTTGTTGTTATCTGCCGCCCTGCGTGTGTGTGTCCAGTCCAGTGCATTTGCTGCCTGAAAAATGTTTCCGAGTGGTGCCGACGGCTGCACACAGAGACACACAGCACACACACACACACACGCGCGCGCGCGCATGCGTTTGTGTGTGCGGCTGGAATCCATGTGTGCGTGTCCATCCATGCGCAACCAGACAACGGCAGCTCCCCGGACTATTTTTCTCTTTTTTCCCACTTGGACAATAATTGACAAGCTGACGCGGCAACGCATCGATGCGCTTGCGGGCATTGCGGGCGGAGCACTGCTTTCGTCGCTCCGTCTCTCTCACACCTATGCGGGACGCCCCGTGAGTGCGAGAGAGACAGGGCGATGAAATTCGAGGCTCTCTACGAAAGCGGTGCCCGGAATCAGCCAGCAGGTCCAGCCCGGCCGGGAGCAGTGGCGGATCCAGAGCCGGCCTGAAAGGGAAAAGTAGCACTTTTTGCCTACTTTCAGGGACAAAGTGTTGCTCTTTGCCTACCTCTAAGGCTGCTATTGGCTGCTACCAAGCGGTCAAAGGGCGGAAGGGGGGAAGGGGTTGACCTTTTGCCCCTTCCCCTGGATCCGCGCTTGGCCGAGAGTCGTTTCCATCGCTGCATCTCTCTCGTACCTATAGGGAAGTCCCACGAGTGCGAGAGAGACTGAGCGACGAAAACGACTCTCCGTCTGCTGGATCCTGGTTCCGAACCCGCGCCCGGGCGGCCGGGTCACTTCCTTCCTGTGTGCCTGCGGAGGAGGCTCGCGCGTGGCGACCAGCGGAAACGACTCGAGCAAGCTCGCGCTTCGCGCTTGTTGCTTCGCGAAGTGACATACTACCGCTTCGAGAGAACAAGTTGGTCCGTCCCGTCCAAGGCTAGCCAAGGCCGGGGCTCCGGCGGCTCTGCGGACTCATTCCGAGAGTCGTTTACGTCGCTCTGTCTCTCTCGCACTCGTGGGGCGTCGCCTGTAGGTGCGAGAGGGACAGAGCGACGCTCGGAATCAGGGAATCAGTGTGCTGGCGGAGAGCAAGCTGGGCTCCGCCCGCCCCGCGGACGGGCGGGTACCAATGGGATGGGACTCCTCTTCTGCCTCCAGAGTGATTTCGAAAGTCATTTTCGTCGCTCTGTCCCTCCCGCACCCATGGGGGACGCCCCATGAGTGCGAGGGAGACAGAGCGACGAATACGACTCTCGGAATCTCCTACAGTCCGCCAGGAAGCTGGCGCCGTACTCGAGACGAAGCGTGTACACGCGTGTATAGCACCGCGGAACACCAATTGTATTTATTGCCAAATTGCAGAAGCCGCGGCGCCATCATTCCTTGTCGGACTGCGAGATTTACTCCTCTCCCCCTCCCTCTCTCTCTCCACACACACACACACAGACACACGCGCACACACTTACGAGCAAACACTCGCGGTTTGCCCAGGGCTTCGCGCGTCGTGGCGGAGGGGGAAGTCCGTGCCGGGCTTTGGTCACACCGCCGCCACTTCGTTTCACAGATTCTCAAAGGAAAACACTGCGGCCAGGCTTGTTCTCTTTCTTTATTGATGCGTGTTTTCGTTTTGGTTCGTACATAGTAGCAGCAAGCAGTGTTCCGTTGTTGATTGCGTTGCCGGACTTATCTCCACGCCGTCACGGGAAAGAATAAAAGCAGAAAGGAATTGACCTCCCGAACACAGGCTGTTCCACGAACCCACTCCTTTTCCTCAGTCGTACACTGTTAGCACGGGGCTCGATTTTTCGGGCGGGGAGAAATAAGATCGAACTGCTTACACCCAGCCCGAGTTTCGACGTAGTACAGCGGGCCAGCGAAGACCGTGGGGGAGGGGGGGGGGTCAAAATCACAGACGCGTTTTGAACTCCAGAGTCGCTAAATGGGACTCGAACCGAACGTGGTACCCCACCAATGGATTCCTCGTTCGGAGAGCAATCCATTGGTGGGGTCTCACGTTCGGTTCGAGTCCTGTTTAGCGACTCTGGAGTTCAAAACGCGTCCAGAGTTTTGACCGCCTCCACCGGTCTTCTGGTCCACAGTTCGTAATTCGGTACCCACATAATTCGAAAATCGAGTCGAACGTGGTTCCATCTCACCCCATGCTCACCCCAATCTCATTTTCAACCCGCTACAAACAGTGTGTACACAATGACATTGAATCTAAATTTAATTCGGCGTGCGCTGTGCCGCTGTGCGGTGCCGCCATGGACTAGGGCCTTGGCTTCTTGAAGGGACTGCACAGCCGGGGCGGGCAAGGCCGGTGCACGGGCAGGCCGTGGAAGGCGGGCCCCGTGTCCACCATGGTCTTGACGGGCACCCCCGTGCCGTAGTGCGCGCTCTCGGGGCAGTACATGGCGGGCACGGCGAGCAGCTCGGACAGCGTGTTGGCGTACAGCGCCACGGGGTACTCGACGCCGCCAGTGCCCCAGCGGTGCGACACGAAGTCGTCCAGCGGCAGCCGGAACGACGCCTGCTGCTCGCTCTGCAGGCCCCTGCGGACGAGACGTTTCGTCGCTCTGTCTCTCTCGCACACTTATGGGACGCCCGATGAGTGCGACAGAGACAGAGCGACGCACAGTGGGCCAGAGCACCGGTGGAGGCGGCCAAAATTCTAAACGCGTTTTGAGCTCCCGAGTCGCTAAATGGGACTCGAACCGAACGTGTGACCCCACCAAAGGATTGCTCTCCGAACGAGGAATCCATTGGTGGCATCACACGTTCGGTTCGAGTCCTGTTTAGCGACTCGGGAGCTCAAAACGCGTTTAGAATTTTGGCCGCCTCCACCGGTGCTCCGGCCTTCTGTGCGACGTACTTGTTGGGCACGGCGGGCACCCTGGTGGGCAGGCGGCGGTGCACGGCGCGGTGGGCGAACTGCTCCTTGTCGTAGACGGGGTCGGGGTCGGAGCGCGTGGACAGCAGCGAGCTGACGCGCACCGAGTCGCGCGGCCCGTAGCCCCAGCCCTGGGCGCGGTGGTAGCCCTCCGCGTCCCAGTACGTCATCACGTTCTTCTGGCCCACCTGCAGCACACAGCGCGCGGAGGGTCACAGTCGACTGATCCTGCAAGAACCGTGTTCGTCGCTGTCTCTCTCGCACCAACTCATGGGGCGTTGCGTGTTGGTGCGAGAGAGACAGAGTGACACAGACGAGTCTCGGAGTCCTGCTTTGCTTGTTCTGCGGTGGAGGTGGAAGACGCTGGCGATGGTTGGCGCTGCACCCTTAAAATCTTGTAGTCAAAATTCTCCGTATTCGATCCGTATTGCAGTGAAAAATTCTCCACATAATGGTGAAAGTTCTCCAGATTATTGAAAAAATTCATCACATAGAGGTGCACCTGACTTTGCAACTTACCTCTGAAAATCATTGTACACCATAGATATTGTATCGAATTTCTTTTGTAAGAATGGACTAAATCTCCACCTTGATTTCTTTGGTGCAGTCTTTTACTGCGATATATGTATTTACTTGGAATGGCGGCTGGCCTACCTGGTCGCTCTGCTGGCGCTCCGTGTGCGGGTGGTAGTCCATGGCCGACGTGGACACCATGGGGTCCAGCAGGCGCACGAAGCCGCCGCCCTCCGGCGGCACCAGCGGCTGCACCGAGAGCCCATCGCTGCGAACCTGAGTCCCAAAATACAAGCACTGGTTCGAGAATGGGTCATGTTGTCGTTGGCGGGAAACAGAGCATATCGAGATATCGAACTAAATGAGCATCGAGATATCAAACAAAGTGAATTTTGAGATATGGAACAAAGTGAATGTTGACATATTGAACAAAGTGAATGTCGAGATATTGATCAAAGTGAATGATGAGGTTTCGAACAAGGTGAACGAGATATCGAACCGGGCACTCGACGTCGGGCGAGAGGTCGACGAGCTTCCCCAGCGTGGGGATGACGTCATTCCGCAGGTACGTCGAGTTGGTGACGGAAGCGGCCGGACAGGTGTCGACGCTGCTGTTGTGCGGCCGGTGCTTTATCTGAAACAAGGAGTCGTTCTCCGCGTAAATAGACGACGTCAAAACGCCCACAATACTAAAACGACGAGTTACAGTGTCGCGTACGTGCTCGTCGAACTTGCGCGCCAGGGTCATGCGGCCGGCGCTGATGTAGTTGCCGGCGAAGGTGGCGGGGTCCTTGGTGGGCTCCTTGAGGTCGTGGGCCAGGCCCGTGGTGGTCAAGTGCTGGTCCCAAGTCACGGCAGCGTCGCGCGTCGCCAGGTGGCATGGCAGTGGCCTCCGCACGCGCTGCAGCAGGCAAACGTGGTCGTCGTCATCGAGGCCGTCAACAAAAACGTCACCGAGGTCGACAACGAGGACGTCAACAGGCACCGACCCAGGATTTTTCCAAGGAGGGGAGAGAGTAGCGCTTCTGCCTACTTGCAGGAAAAGTATCCAAGGAGGAGGTAACAAAACCGTCTTTACGCCCCTCCTCCTGGATCCGCTCCAGGACATCGTCACCGAGGCCGTCACCGAGGCCGTCACCGAGGCCGCGCGCGTACTCACGTCGTAGCGCTCGCTGATGGGGTGGATCTGGTACAGCCCCACGCCGGAGGACGTCTTGTAGGCGTCGATGTTGGCCAGCGGCTTCTGGCACAGCCACTGGTAGTCGCCGCCGAAACCGCATGGCGCGTACTCCTTCGGGGGCGGCTTCGGGGGCGGGCATAGGGGCAGCCTGCGGGAGGGTGCCAGCAGTTGGATCCATGCTTCCGTCACTCCCGCACCCAACGGAACGGTCCATGAGTGCGAGAGAGACGGAGCGACGGCTGCGGAATCAAACGGCAGGGCACACCGGTTTGAGCAGAGTGTTCGCAACGGGGTATAGCAAACAGCAAACCTGTACACTCCCATGGTGGTTTTTGCAGGACGCGACGCGGCGAGAGCGCCCCCGCCCGCCGCTCAGTCCTCAGTCCGCTCTCTGGGGCCGGGGCCCTGTCTGGGCCCTGCCGGGGTGGCGGCCGGGGGCGGCGGCGGGGGCAGCCAGGGGCGCGCTGGGGGCGCACCGCGCGGCGCCGGCGCGACGCCGAGGTTGCCACAGCGACGACGCACTGTTTTCTGTGGGCTGATTCCGAGAGTCGTTTTCGTCGCTCCGTCTCTCTCGCACCTGTCGAGGACGCCCTATAAGAGGGAGAGAGACAGAGCGTCGAAACGGTTCCTCGGAACCAGCCTTGCTGCTTCTTGGCCCATAGGGAAGAACAGGGGCAGCTGAACCCACCCTCCCCAGGGAAAGCCCAACCGGTGTTGCCAAACTTGGCCCGCGAGTTTTGGTGCGCATTTTTCCGACTTTCCTCTGCGCAGTTGGCTGTGACTGCGAGGCTCTGAGAGGATGGGTGGGTGGATGGATGGCCTGGCGGGTCAACAATAAAAGCTGCGAATGGAGGAATGGAGGGAGCGCTCTGGGAATAGAGGGAGCAACTAGAGCAACAGTGGGCCATGGCGGCATGGCATGGCTATGGGCATGCCAGCGGACTTAATCCGAGAGTCGTTTTCGTCGCTCTGTCTCTCTCGCACCTACAGGGCACGCCCCATGAGTGCGAGAGAGACGGTAGGGGAGTGCCGGATCGCGTGCCTGCAGTTGGCGCGGCCCAAAGCGGTCACGTCCATCACCGTGTCGGCGTCCTGGGGAAGCGCGCGCGGGGGAGAGGCGAGGCACATCCCCGCAAGACCCCCGCAGCCATAGGGGTTGACGCGACAGTGGGGCCCCGCCCCGGGGGGCACGGGGGCACGGGAGTGGCGGAACGCCAGAGGGCCCCAGAGGGGGCGGAGGTGCGGTGGCTGACAATCGAAGCTGGCGTCCCCGAGGCCCCGTCAGGGCCCCGCATGGCTCCAGCAGACGACGCTAGCAGACGACACTCGTCATGACGAGCAGGAGGTCCGCGTCAGCGCGGACCCTGGACGGCAGGACGGGATCCTCATCGGACAGGACGCCGTCGACGCTGTCCGGCGAGCAGTCCTTCTCGAAGACGGTGTCCTCGGCGGACGCGTTCGCCGACATCGTGCCTGAAGGTGCGTGGAGCGGGGGCGGATCCACAGACAGTTTTGTAAAGGGGGATCGCAAGAGTTGCCCACCCGCACACAGTGAATCAGAAGACCGGCGGCCAAAACTCTAGACGTGAGTGTTGAGTGACTTGGTTGTTGCGCAGCGCTGTCATTCGACGAGCTGGACAACGTGCTCGCGCTGCTGCAGAAGGCCAACCTGCTGATGCAGCTGGAGAACGAGGTGTTCCACGACAAGTTGTCCAGGGAGAGCCCCGAACTTCTGGCAGGTGCGTAATTCTAGACGCGTTTTGAACTCCAGAGTCGATAAATGGGACTTTGACTGAACGTGTGACCCAATCAATGGATTGCTCTCCGAACGAGGAATCCATTGAATCCACGCGCTCGGATTGAGTCCCTGTGTTACTGATTCTGGAGCTCAAAACGCGTCTAGAATTTTGACCGCCTCCACCGGTCTTCTGGCCCACTGTGGGTTGTCCGCGCCTGGTGGTCGCAAACCAAACCGAGGAGCTTTCCAGGCATGTCGGCCATCCTGGAAGAAGAGGCCGCGGCGGCCGGCAAGCGTGTGTCCGGGTCCGAGCCCGCGGCCAGCGAGGACGCCGCCCCCGCCAGCCAGGGGAGCCAGCCGCCGAAGAGCACGTCGACGACGTCCCCCGTCAACACCATGTCCGGGGCCACGACGCTCAGCCGCTCGGAGCGCTCGCGCTCGCAGACGCGCTCCAGGATGGCGGCGTCCGCCGCGTCCGCCGCGTCCGCCACGTCGGAGTCGGCCAGCGGCGCCGCCACGGCGCGCCTCGCCGCGCTCAGGGCGAAGCAGGCCTCGGCCAAGTGCGCGGCGGGCTCGCTGGACAAGGTGCCCAGGTGAGAAAGGAAAAAAAGGAAAGAGAGAACGAGTCCAGGCGTGGGACATCTGCGAGTATGGCGCGCGTGGGATTCTAATTTTAATTATTACTTTTTTCTCAGGATGAGCTTCAGCCAGCGCATCGACATGACCGAGGAGGCGGCCTTCCTGGAGGAGAAGCGCACGCGGCAGCTGCGCCAGCACGGCGAGGCGACGGTGGCCCACCTCAGGGCGCAGATGGAGGAGGCCGCGGCGCAGCTGGCCGAGACGCGCGCCGCCAGCGTCGGCCTCGACGCCGTCGCCGCGGCCGGCGCGGGGGGAGACTTCGGCCTCGGCCGCGCCACGGCGGAGAAGTTCCACCGGTGGGTTGAGGTGGTGGAGGTCTGGAGGACCGGTGAACGCGCAGTGGGCCAGAAGACCGGCGGAGGCGGTCAAAACCCCTGACGCGTTTTGAGCTCCAGTTCAGAGTTCCTAAATGGGACTCGAACCGAACGTGTGACCCCACCACATTGCTCTCTAAACGATGAATCACAAGATCGGTTCGAATCCTGTTTAGCGGCTCTGCAGCTCAAAACGCGTTTAGAGTTTGGGCCGCCTGCGCTGGTCTTCTAGCCCACAGTGCGGTGAAGGCCTCGAGGCCGCTTGAGGTCTACAGTGCCTGTTGGGGCGGAGGGCGGACGTAATCGGAAGTGTGCATGAACAGCTGGCTGACTCCGAACACTGCTTCCGTTGCTCTATATCTCTCTCGCACTCGTGGGGCGGGCCGTAGGGGTGCGAAAGAGACAGAGCGACGAAGCTCAGCAGGCATAAAGCCACGAGAGTGCAAAGCCAACCGCACGCCAGTGCGCGGCGCTCAACGCCGGCCGAGGTAGCCTGCCCCGCACAACACCCGTGTCCAACGCTTGGGTGGCTGCCTACCCGCCATTAAGGGCTAGACCACACATGATCGTATGCCATATGGAGTTCTCCACGTTTGCACCGTGCCGATGCCGAGAGATAGGGCACAGTGGGCCAGAAGACCGGTGGAGGCGGCCAAAACTATAGACGCGTTATGAGATTCAGAGTCGCAAAACGGGACTCGAACAGAACATGTGACCCCCACCAATGGACTCCTCGTTTGGAGAGCAATATATTGGTGGGGTCACACGTTCGGTTTGAGTCCTTTTTAGCGACTCTGCAGCACAAAACGCGTCTTTTTTGTTTTTTTGGCCGCTAACTTCCAAGTGCGGAGCCTAAAAATACCACACCTCCGCATTTCAAGTTTGACAGTGTCGTTGTCCGGCAGCTACATGACGGACCTGATGAAGCTGGCGGACGCCACGGTGGACAGGCTGCGCCTCAAGACGGCCTCGCTGCGCGCGCACCACAAGCGCGTCCGGGCGGACATCGCCGTGAAGCGGGAGCTGGGCGACGCGCTGCGCCCCGTGGACTTCGACAAGATCAACATCGAGATCGAGGAGTACCAGCGCAAGATCGACAACAAGAACCGGCACCTCATCGACCTCAAGAACATCTCAGGTTGGCTCTCTGTCTCTCTCGCACTCATGGTGCGTCCCGTTCAGGTGCGAGAGAGACAGAGCGACGAAATGATCCTTCGCAATCAGGAGGGAGGGGGACAGACTTGGGAAAGCTAATTTGGAACGAAGGCCGCCGGTTTGTAAAACGGAGTGCATGCGCTGCGCTGCGCAGGGAGCGCCACGTCCAGACTGCTGGCGAGCAAGAAGCGGCTCTCCGACCTCACCAAGCACCTCAACGGCATCCAGAGGGACTGCGCCTCCAAGCGGAACCAGATCGCCACGCTGGAGCGAGACGAGCACAAGGCGAGGCGCAGTGGATTTGTCAGAAGACCGGTGGAGGCGGCTGAAACTCTAGACGTGTTTGTTTTGAGCTTCAGAGTCGCTAAACAGGACTCGAACCGAACGTGTGACCCCACCAATGTACTCCTCGTTCGAAGAGCGATCCATTAGTGGGGGATCACACTTTTGGTTTGAGTCCCATTCAGCGACTCTGAAGCTCAAAACGCGTCCAGAATTTCGGTCGCCTCCACCGGTTTTTTGGCCCTTTATGACACGACACTTTGGGAAAATCAGTCTGGTTTGCCGGTGCGGTGGTTTAACCTAACCTGTTCCGCCGCAGGTCCTGGAGGACGTCAGCAAGGCCGACGCCGCCCTCAACAACATCCGCATGCGCATGGAGAGGCACACGGTGAGTGCGACAGTGGGGCCTTAGTGTGGCCGGGGCCCGCCGCACAGTGGGCCAGAAGACCCGTGGCGGCCAAATTCTAGACGCGTTTTGAGCTCTAGAGTCGCCAAATGGGACTCGAACCGAACGTGTGCCACGGTCCTTGTGGAACGCAGTTAAGTCATTGGTGATCTGGGTCGAACGCGTCAGAGGTTAAGCTGCCCCCACGGCGGTTTGTGGCCATGGGCGCGTCCGACGCTCGGTTCGCTACCCCCGAGCCGCCAGGAGCCGGCAAGTTTCTCGAGCCCTCCCCTTTTCCATCGTTTTCCCGGAGTCACAAAAAAAAAAAAAAAACGAGTGTGTGCACGCGCCGCGGACGGGCGAGTGGGCGACGGGCAGCAGGAGGCTTTCGGGGGAAGTCGAAGCCGGGGCCGCCTTCGGGAGAACGGCACACACTTGTGTTCTCATTATTACTCGCACGCAGCCAAGGTGGCCTGTCTCTTGAAAAGGCTTGGTCCCTGTGCAAGCTGTGCAAAGACTCCAAAGGCGTCGCGCAATTAGTCACCACCCACGGGCCTCGCCATCGCCATTGCGTTGTGGGGCCACGCGCACACTGGAAAAGAGGAGGGGAGGGCTTCCCTCTTTTCGACACCGTTTTATGGGATTTCGACTATAAAATCGCCGGCGCCCGTGACTGACAGTCCATCTGGGTCCCAGGCGCGAATCCAGTGGGGAGGGGAGGGGGAAGGACAAGGACAATTGACCACCCTTGGCAGCTCGACAGCCGCCCACCTTGTAAGGACGGCCGCGTCTCGTTTTGCAGTGCAGGCGAGCTTGTGTCGGGCATGAATGGTAGGGAAACGGCCACACTTTGCCCCTGCAAGTAGGCGAAAAGTGCTACTTCGGCCGGCTCTGGATCCTTGCCTTGCCACCGCCGGTTCCTCAGTGTGTCAGTGTGTCCCTGCTGCTCGCCGTGCTGCAGGTGCCCGACGTGCTGGCGTACGTGCGCCTCAAGCAGGACCTGGACGTGCTGCGCCGGGCCGTGGCCGTGTGGTGGCGGCGCTGCGGCGTGCAGCAGCACACGGCGCGAGACCTGCGCAAGGCCATGCAGGCCACGGCCTCGGCCGCCGCCTCGGCGCGCACCCGGCCCGGCCCGCCGCACGGCCTCCACGGCCAGCAGGGCGCCGAGGCCGAGGCCCGCGCCGACGAGCTGACGGAGACGTCGTCCGAGAGGGGCAGGGCGCCGCTGTCCGCGGCCGGCACCAGCGCCCCGGCCAGGAGGAGGCGGCCGAGGCAGAGACGCAGGCGGAGTCGCGCGGCCAGCCGACACCGCAGCCGCAGCAGCAGCAGCCCCAGCGCCGCGGCCAGTGCCAGTGGCAGCAGCTGCACCAGCCCGAGCAGAAGCAGCGGCAGCTCCAAGTGACGCTCTCAGCTCTCCGGCACGTACAGTGGGCCAGAAGACCGCTGGAGGCGGTGAAAACTCTAGACGCGTTTTGAGCGCCGGAGTCGCTAAATGGTACTTGAACCGAACGTGTGACCCCACCAATGGATTGCTCTCCGAACGCTGAATCGAATGGTGGGGTCACACGTTCGGATCGAGTCCCGTTTAGCGACTCTGGAGCTCAAAATGCGTCTAGAGTTCTGGCCGCGTCCACCGGTCTTCTGGCCCACTGTGGAACGCCGACCGTGCCTTATCTTTGGCACGAGACGCCCCTTTCTGGACGTAAGGCGATGGGTCATCGGAAAGGAAACGCGTGTGTCCGTTCATGTACACTTTATTAAAACCAATACAATACAAAATCTTTTGCAATCAAACATCACAGCGATACATTATTTTTGGCACAAAATAAGAGTACATAAGAGATCAAGGCACAATGCGCTTTCATGAGTAACTGTTAGAACACTAACACAGCAGAAATAAAGATAATTGCTACTTATGTAATGTGTCATGGTAAATATCCAGCTCTTCAGTATGGAAGAACATCTTACTTGATGCGATAGAAATGTTTTTTTCATTGAAAACATCATTACAGACCTACGTACGTACAACTATGAATTTCCATTCTGTTACAATGCAAGTCTAATAAAAGTTCTATAATAAGCAATTTATGGTCTATTATGATCTCTGTATCATATATATCATGCAGATGCCATGAGAAATGACTTTTCTTTACCTTGGGACCTGATGATCTAAGTATTGTCTTGCAATAGTCTTCGAATATTGAAAGAAATTACAGTCCATTTTGAGGGAAAGCCAAATTTCTTTGTGCTTCAGGGCAGAATATGTCCTCCTCACATTCACACAATATCACAGGTAGATGTCATTAATGACAAAAATAGATTATATTCACCAGAATGCGACACCATTAATTAAGCAGACATGATTACAACAATTTCATAAAGTCTGTAGACTATGGTCTTACAGAATACCAAAAGCACTCAAATTCAGTCGGCTCAAATGCTCTACCATTAAGAGAAAACACAGGTGCACAAAACTCAATTCAAAATATATCAAAAAATAAAGATTTTTTAAATTATTCTAGGTAATGAGTAACACATAATAGCTCTTTTAAAAATCTGAAATCATACTACGACTAGAACTTACACTAGTAAATTGCAGCACAATACTGAATGGCAGGGCAGAAAGCAGCCAGGAATAAAAGATAACATTTATATAGAATATAATATATAATAACTGCACATGCCATTGGACCAAGTCTTGCAATGGATACGAATTAAACTTTGATTTAGCAAAATTGATAACTATAAAGTACACAGCAGTAAATTCTGCTGAAGATATGATGGCAACCATAATACAAACAACTTAACTTAACAATGAGCTGAATTTAGGAAAACTTTTAAGTAGGGTCTTTCAGTATAAAGCTGTATAAAAGTATCTTAAACAGTGGGTAGAAGTAATACTTTACGTGAACTACAACTAAACAACTTTTCACAAATCCATTGGTGCAGCATAAGAAAATCCTGCAAATATATCATCAGCTTCTCGTACACTGGCCGTCAGAATACTTGTTGTAGAATGTGATCGGGCGACAGAGCTTGAGACAGCTTCTCTGGTGAACTCAGGATCAATGTGGCGTAAATCAAAAACTTCATGCTACAAGAAATAAGAAAATATGACACAATGAGTGAGCTGAATATCCATGAAAGAAGACAAAGTGGAACACGAGAGAAGCAACTCACCACATTTGGATTGAAAGGCGGTCTGACTTTTTTGGCAAATAAATCATCCCAATTGATTTGAGAGAAAAATGAGTGCATTTTCAGATTCTCCAGGTCTCCTTCTGCATATCCAAGTCGCATCCTGGGATCCTTCTCAAGCAGCTATGTAACAAATGCATGAAGAAAATGAGTAATGCTAATGTTTTTGCTTTGATTTTGTATTTAAAACAGTACTCTTGAATAGTCTGGAATGAAACTTACTTGACTAAGAAGATCCCTTGCACTTTCAGATGTTCCTGAACGAAGTGTTAGCGGCTTATTCAGAATACGCTCATACATTTCAGAAGTATTACGGCTGTAGAAGGGGGGAAGCCCATATAACATTTCGTAAAGGACAGCCCCTAAGCACCACCAATCCACAGCTCTTCCATAAGGCTGAAAAATAACAAACCCAAAACATGATAAACTTTGGAGAAATGAACATTAAGTCACATGGTTAATCAAAATTGTGATTTGAGCTCACCTCTTTCCTGATTATTTCTGGTGCTAAATACTCAGGCGTTCCACAGAAAGTGTGAGTTGTCTCGACCCCCATTAGGTCCCCTACTTCTTTGGAGAGGCCAAAGTCAGTCAACACAATATGACCTTGGGCATCAAGGAGTATGTTCTCAGGCTTCAGATCCCTATACACAATGTTCAAAGAATGAAGATATCCTAGGGCAAGAGAAATTTCCCCGGCGTAAAACCGAGCTCTACTTTCAGGGAATGTGCGCTCTCGCTGCAGATGAAAGAAGAGCTGCAACAGTAAAAATCAATTGAGAATGAAAAATTCCCCACTCAACACAACATGAAGTCAGTGTTCATTAATGAAAGTTGGCTTACCTCACCACCATTAACATAATCAAGGACAAAGTATAGTTTATCAGTAGTCTGGAAGGAATAATGAAGACCAACAAGAAATGGATGATGAACATTTTTCAGTAAGATATCTCGCTCTGCCATTACATGACGAACTTCATTTTTCCGCAAGATCACTCTTTTACTGAGAATTTTGATTGCATAATACTGTCCTTCAGAACAATGACGAGCTAGGAGGACTTTACCATAGCTTCCTTTCCCAATAACACGTAGGAACTCAAAATCTCGAGGTTTAGCACTGTTGGCAAGATTACATTTCAATAAGTGATACAGTAAGCTAACAAATAACTGCTTATATGGCTGAAATTTACTTACTATAATCGTTCAGAGGGTCCCAAGTTAAGTTGGTTCAATTTTTCACAGACATCAACCCCTTCTGTAGTATCTTCCAGTTCTCCGTCACCTTCAGAACTCAACTTAGGGCGATCAAGTTGAAGGAAGGCTCGAACTTCTGGTCTGTTAAGTAACAATAAAATTTTATCATCTGAACACTGATGCAATACTCAAATACAATTCAAAGATGCCTTACATTTCAAGAAGTTTCTTATCTTGCATTAGCTGTTGTAAAAACATGTCAAGTCCTTCTTGTCTTGATGCAATAAACTGAGGGTCTAAATTGTTCCCAAACAGCTTTTTGCCAGGAAGTTTTAATTGAATACCAGGAACCTACACAATTAAAGGAAGTCAATTGAAAAATACTGAGACTAGTAAAAGTCAACATATGCATGAGTAAACAGACATAGGTACCTGTTTCCGAAGAATATCAAAAAGTTTGTAAAACTCATTGTATCGCCGAAACACAAACCATGAATCATTATCAGAGCTAATGGCCACTTTATAAACCTGAAAAATAATTCCTGAAGGTACAGCAACTATGACCACAATTACAGCACAGTCAGTCAATTCTTAAGATATAATACCGTGAATTTCTTTTCCTTTTCTCTGATTTCAGAGTCTTCAACTGATGCCGTTGTAGATGGAGTACACTCAGGCATATTGGCAGCTAGCATAATTCCAAGACTAGACTTGGTACCAAACCCAGCATGTGGTTGAATCCATGAATAAGAAAATTCTGAAACAAACAATGGCCTGAGTTAAAATTCTGCAATAAAGTTTGTCTTGTTTCTCTTAGTGGTGCACATGTGTTAATGCTTCACAAGCCAAATCATTGCTGCTACTGCACCTGATTCTTTATTGACATGACTTCGCAGATCACAGAGAAGGCTTAGAAAGTCGATCATAATGACAGAACTAGCTGAGGAGTCAGACCACTTCAGAATGACAGACCTACTGAATATGAGGCATCAAGCAGAGGACTATCAAGTTGAAATGAGAGCAAAGCTTGATGGTCAAAAACAACTACCAGAATAAACATCCCCCTCCACAAAAGGTGGCTGGACTTTGCCTCATTCATATCCCTACCACCTCAAAACTAGTGGCTGGGAGTGGCAAGCTGGGAGAGGAATTTCATAGCTTCATAATACATTTCAAAAAAGTATCGATAGAATTCAGCTCATAAATTATAAAACTTCAGCGGGCACAGCAATGCTTGTCAAGAAGACTAAGTACATAAAGGATGAAAGAGTCTACGAATAGTGCTTATAAACTTTGATCAGACACAAGGGGAACTGCATTTCATTTATGAATGGTCCTCAGGTGCCCATTCATAAGGAAGCACCGAAAAATGCAAGACAGGAATGCACAATTGCACACTGCACAAATGCAATACATAACAATAACAAGGTCGGGGCGGGGTGCAACTTCCACACATCGGGAAAGTGTTGAAAGATGCGCGGAAAGGGGAAAGCAGGTGGCCAAGTCACAGCAATAAAAAGGAGCAGTGTCCACACGCAAAGGGCGATACATGATTCATTGAAGATAGACTCAGCCTATGAAAATACAACCGACCCTTGAATGAATCAACTTATCAGCTGTGAGCTGGGCCCGCACGTCATGTGAGCGGTTGCGGTTGACACTTCAAAACCATATCAGTGATGTAATAAAAGAGAGAACAACGGAACTTCAATGAACTACCAAAGATGCGCGGTTTGCACCTACCAGGGGGATTCTTCAAGATTTACTACTGTGAAGAAGGTTGAAGTCCGTACTCTGATCTCTACACATACACTGCACATTCCAAGAAAAATGAGAAAAAAAAATGCATTTGGCATGTTTGTTGTTGTTTGTGACTGTACTCGGCAGAGATGCTGACCGGAAGAAGATTACGCCCACCCCGGAGTGGCGCCAAAGTGCTCGCCAGCTTTTCCGATCCCATCTCTGCTCGTCGTCAACATTACTCGAAATTTCTGGACGGACACAGACAGGTAGACAGACAGGCGGTTCAGCACCAAAGCAGCTCATTTACTTGCGGCGTTCTTTGTGGACCGGCTAAAATGGACCAAGTGAGTACCGAGCTGTTAACTCTCGTTTCGTTGGTTTAAAAAGCCGCTGCGGACTAAATTTGCCCTTCTTGTGAATCACATCGCCGTTTTTTTGTGACATTCCCCGAGTATTGCACATGTTTTGCTGGTGGATCCGTCTAGAATGGTTATCGGTATTGGCCATTTAGTTAATTCATTCTTTCCCATTCACTTGGATTCTGGTGGAATATTGTTCACACATTCATCCTTCGCTCAGACTTTGCTTCTCTCAAGAGCGATTTTGTTGCGTGTCTGAGACTAACCTGTACATTGATGCGTCCGGCACTCGATGATTTGTGGTTATTGGTTCTTCCTAGGCGGACGAATTGTGCATAATGTCTGGATGTCCTGAAATTTAAATGACATTCATAGAAATACAAAAAGTGTGTTCTACTTATCATCAAAATTCAGTATGGAATGCTTATTTTGATCAATTTTAATTTCAGGTTAATGTGCTGAAGGAGAAGGGCAACGCTGCTCTCCAGCAAGGAAATTTTAAAGAAGCAGTGAAGTGCTACTCAGATGCTATCGCTCTTGATCCAAACAACCATGTCCTCTTCAGCAATCGTTCAGCTGCCTATGCCAAAGATAACCAGTTTGAATTGGCATTGGAAGATGCTGAGAAAACAGTTAAATTAAAGCCTGATTGGGGGAAGGTAACGTTGCAGTTATCATGTTGCTTCTTCTGTTGTTTAGTCTTGGGCTTGACACTAAAAATTCTTTGCTTTTTCCAGGGTTATTCGAGGAAGGGCAGTGCCTTGGCTTATTTGGATAGAGTTGATGAAGCTATTGAAGCTTACGAAGAAGGTCTGAGACAGGACCCTACCAACGCTCAGCTGGCCGAGGGATTAAAAGAAGTCAAAGCAAAGTCATCACCTTTCCCTGGAGTGGATGCAGCGCTATTCAAGTCTCCTGATCTCTTTGTCAAGCTTCGCAATGATCCCCGCACACGAGGCTACTTGGAAGACCCTTCCTATGTTCAAATGATTACCAAGCTTCAAACTGACCCTAATGCTAAATTGTAAGTAGCACTCTCTTCACTGCAGTCATCACTTGTTATTTATGTTGCTGCCAGGTGTCAATTTACTTAATTGTTGAAGTTTAAATGCTAACTCAAAATTAAATGTGTGTTGACCGTAGGGAAGGGCTTGAAGATCCTCGAATGTTGGCAACAATATGTGTTTTGCTTGGCTTAAATTTTTCAATGGCGGGAGAAAACGAACCTATGGACACTTCAGAACCGCCTCCACGCCCTACTCCCCGCCCGACACCTCGCTCTGCGGAGCCTGAGAAGAAAAAGGAACCTGCAGAAGACCTGTCCAATCTCACTGAACCCCAGCGACAGGTAAATTTTCAAAGCATCAGTTTATGTTTTATTAGTTAAATCTCAAGCCACAAGTCTAATGCTTGTGCAATTCTACAGGCTAGAAAAGAAAAAGAAAATGGTAATAACGCCTACAAGAAAAAAGATTTTGCCAAAGCTCTTGAGCATTACAACAAAGCAGTGGAGTTGGATCCTGCAGATATAACATACCTGAGCAATATAGCAGGTAATTTAACTATACTTTTATATTGCTGCCTTCATTTTTTTTCTTTACTTACAATTTAAAATGACATTTTCCTGTTTTCCAGCCGTTTACTTTGAACAGAAAGAATATCAGAAGTGCATTGCACAATGTGAGAAGGCTATTGAAGTAGGCCGTGAGAACAGGGCTGATTTCAAACTGATTGCTAAAGCCTTTGCCAGAATAGGCAATGCTTACAAAAAACTTGAGGTTTGTGTGAAATATTTCTCAATATGTGGGAATGTCACATCATGACCATTGTTTTTCAATTTGAGTGCTTCTTTTTGTTCTTAGGATTGGTCTAGTGCTAAAACCTACTATGAAAAATCTCTTTCGGAGCACCGAACTCCCGAAATTCGCACCCTTCTTTCGGATATGGAGAAAAAAATAAAGGAAGCAGAAGAAAAAGCGTACATAGATCCTGTCAAGGCTGAAGAAGCTAAGGAGAAAGGAAACAGTCTTTTCAAAAATGGTAAAATAATATTTTCTTTCTAAATTTACTTTTATTTGCATTCAATAGTTCATTCGTTTTTTTTTCTTCTGTTTTGTGAAATGTAGGAAACTATGGTGAGGCTGTGAAGTACTACACTGAAGCTATCAAACGCAACCCTGCAGATAGCAAGTATTACAGTAATAGAGCGGCTTGTTACACAAAATTGGCTGCATTTGATCTTGGACTGAAGGACTGTGAGAAATGTTTGGAGCTTGATCCCAAATTCAGTAAGTCTTTGGTGTGGATGTGATGTATTGCTTTGTTACTCGAGTACTGTTCTCAAAAAGTTGTTCCTTTGTTACAGTCAAGGGCTGGATTCGGAAAGGAAAGATTCTGCAAGGAATGCAACAACAAGGGAAAGCTGTTAGTGCATACCAGAAGGCATTGGAACTTGACCCTACCAATGCGGTAAGTTCATAGATTTTTACTGAATATTTTTGCACCTTGTTGTATTTAAATTTTTTTAATTTCATTTCTTTTTATTGAAATCTTACAGGAAGCCTTAGAAGGGTACCGCTCATGTAGTGTTGCTGTAAATTCCAATCCGGATGAAGTTCGTAAACGCGCAATGGCTGACCCTGAAATTCAAGCCATTCTTAAGGACCCAGCTATGAGACTTATTTTAGAACAAATGCAAAATGACCCTAAGGCACTTAATGAGTAAGTATTTCTTTCTTCATTTTCCAAAAAAAACTTCTTTGTCAAGACTTTCACTGTGCTTTTTGTGTTACAGTCATCTCAAGAACCCTGACATTGCGGCCAAACTTCAGAAGTTGTTGGAGTCTGGTTTGATTGCTATCCACTGACCCTTTTCAATGATTGCAAGGGATTGAATTCATTACTTGAAGCCTTTGGTTGATAAGAGAGTACGTAGCTCAGCTGCTATAATATGTTTTGTTTAGCTCACCAGATGATGGCAGCTAAGGACTTTGTTGTCAGACTGATTTTTTTTCCCTACCAAGGTTCTTGTTTTTCTGTCACCTTGTGCTTCTTACGGAATTGTTTTTAATAACATGAACATTGTATAGTTTAACACTCATAAAACATTTTTAAACAAGAATCTGTGTCATACTGCCAGCCATTCCTTAGGTTTAATCATGTGTAAGGGGTCAGTTATTGTCCTATCATCTTTAACTTTGTTTTCTTTCATCATCCCTCCCTTTAGTTTCATTAAACTGTCATATGAATGCAATCCTCAATAATATTGTAAAAACACCAAACTAGATCTTAAAAAAAAAAAAAGCCCAGTAAGTCTCCAGGACCTGTATTCAACTTACTAACTGTCTCTTAGCGCTAGATTTTGCAATCTAGAGACACTGTCCCATGTAGTGGTACGTGGTGTGATAAAGAAGATATCTGCATACACGTGGTTCTTTTTTTTTCCTTCTCTTTAATCATTGATCCTTCGTTACATTTCTATGAATCCAGTCCACATAAAATTCAAATCGTTTAAAAATATTTTAAAGTAAAAAAGTACATGTGTATTTTCAAGGGTACAGTTTTCTGCTTTCTAGTTGCCGACCAGGACGTGTTCTTCTGGGTTTAGAAGCGCCCTCTCTGCTGCAATGCGAGCGTGGTCAGCAGCAATGCGAGCAAAGAGGTCGTGGTGTTTCAGCTTGGCTGCCGCCACTGTTGGAGTGTCTTGAACTGGGTGACTTAGCTGGGCATGGAATCCATGAGCATCAGCCACATAGTCCACTGTGCGAACTTTGGATCGTGGGTCCACATAAGAATATTGACCTGATGGGAAAAAAAGCAATATAGCTTCCTGGTATTTAAAATCAAGTTCTTAAAACTGATGAGATGATCTCCAGTCAGTTATATAGTAAATGAGTCAAACCTCTAACTACACCGGTTCCATCACTAGTCTCTGAATGCACCCTATCCACATGTCCTGGGGCTCTGCCAGCTGCGTAGGAGAAACTGTAGGGCAGTGGCGGTTGTGGTGGTTCCTCAGTAACCACCAGCAATTGTCCTGCTTGAGCACATACTGCTAAACTTGCAAGCGCGAGGAACTGCAATCCAAGGGAGACAATTCAGGAGTGCAAATATCTAAAATACAAACAGGCTGAACTCTCTCTCCTAGGCATAATCATGTTAAAACTGATGTCACTGCCATGGCCATGGCCTTCCTGGTGATGTCACTAGCTGGAATGAAAGGCCGCCCGCGCGGTGTACCTGGCGCGTGTTCCAGTCAAACCTGTTGACCTGCCAAAACACCTTCAAGGTTCCAGACTGTGGAGGTGGAAGGCCTTGGGCATGTCTCGATGTTCCAGAAGGGAAACCCGCCCCTTGCTCCGTCTTAAATTCTTTTCAATCAATCCAATTCATGGACACTACTCAATCGGTTGAAGATGTCACATCCAAACATCTATCTTTTCACCCCACTTTTAGTCCGATTTGAGTCAACCCAATGCACCTCCCCGCGACGGTCCTCAACCATCCAGCTGTGCCCACACCAGGCGCTGGCTCCATCCAGGACCAGACAAGAAGGGGACTCACCACAACGGGGCGCAACATGTTGGCGGACTCACGTAATGATTACGACTGCCGGAGCTGCCTGGGGCCAACGGACATGTGTGGCTGGGACGTCTCGACCCGCGAGAGTTGGAGCGCGAGACCACGCGGGTGGGGCGGAAGAGAAGATACTCGCGGAGAGGGGGTACGGGCAGGGGGTCAGAGAAAGCGGTACTTTGTACTCGAATTCAACATGCTGGAGGCGTCGGCCTTGCCTTGTTATCTTTCTTTACAAATTCACGAATAGTGACAATACAGGGCTTGGAGTCAAAATTGTGATCAGAAAACAGTGTTCAGAATTGTGACCTAAAATTTCTCTATTGAAATTTGTGACTGTTCAAAAATTCTGATGCATCTGAATCACCAGTAAAATGTGAAGAAGGCATGGTTAAAAGAGATGGAACCAGTACACATGTCATGAGAAGCACGTTTATTCAATGTAATAAGATCATACAAATCAGGACAGTTCATGCAATTTACTCCACATAAACCAAGGCTAAAGGGGGAAAAAAAGTATTAATAACAAAGTTAGACATGATTACAGCTCAGACAAGTTTCCGCATCATTACTCAGCAGTAGCAAATACTTCAAAAACATCATAGCTATAATCATGGCATTATAGGTTGCATAATCAGAAATCATTTTTTAGATCAGAGACGTCATGGGATTGGCTCCGATGGGTTATTCATCACCATGCAAACTTCAGAAGATCAAGTTTAGTGAACTTTTGACAAGAGTTCAACACTGACCAATCATTTCTTTACAGGGTAGGAAAATTACTTGAAGTGTTACGGTATCTCAGTTGGTGATGCATGAAAAGAATAATCATTACCTCATAGACCGTGATTGGGAGTCATCATCGATAAGTAACGCTTGGAAAATAAATACGCTGTAGCACAAGTGTTTAGCCAACTCAGACGCTTCTAGCTGTCATTAGGAAAAACCTTCCAGTGGAAACCGCAGAAGGAAAAAAAGTCCTTCATCATTGTCAGCAAAGCACTTGAGAAAGTTTCAACCAGATGTACAAATAAAGGTAGAATTAAGTTAAAAGATGCCTCAAAGCTAGTAAAACTGGAATATACTTCAATGTTGCTCAGTATGTCAAATGTCTTCATTAAATTCAGGTGAAGAAATTCAATGTAACATCACAGACAACTCACTAGCAAATTAAGCTCAGAAACAGATAAATCGTCAAAGAGATCAGATGTCCCTATCAGAGTTTCATCACAGACTTAAAACTTCCAAACTAAAGGCATCGTAAGTGTCAAGGCTCAAAGTAAGCTGCACAAGGAATTAAAATTAAAACTTTATGGTATTGACTGAAAGAATGATAGAGGAAAAGGATTTAATTATGTAATTGGATAATCAGAGTTAAAAAGCTCAAATTTAGCTCCATAGAGAGTCAGCATAAATAAAAGGTCATCATATCCAATGAAGAAACAAAGCCATAAGCCTTGCATTGACAAATATAAAAGACTTTACCTGATGTTTGTGGAGAACAGGGGAAGCTGAAATAAAAGAAACATACAAAAATTAGTACAGCAGAACATGAAGCATTAATTAACTGCTTAGCTCGATGTAAAAGAGGACTAATGTCTTCACAAAGTCAGTCCCTCGATTATTTTCACAAAGATCAACAACACAGACCAAGGTAAATTCATCACATTTGTGAAGACCAACAGTAGAATTACAAAATCAGTCCCTCAAATTATTTCAAGAAATTCAACAACACAAAGGGTAAATTCATCGCATACAACAATACTAAATGCCACAGCATAAAAAAAATCAGTGCCTTAGTTCATTTCATGAAGATCAACAACACAGACCAAGGTAAATTCATCACATTGAGATAAACTATGCCAGCATTACAAAATCAGAGCTCTAATCAGATGTGTTAACGTAGACGATATTGTAACTTAAAAAACCAAGTGTTCAGAAAACTCAGACGCTTCTAGCTGTCAATAGGTAAAACCTTCCAGTGGAAACCGCAGAAGGAAAAAAAGTCCTTCATCACCGTCAATATGAACACTCATAACCACCAAAATGACACATAACTTGGCAAAGGTGCTCTGCTTCCTATCCAACAAGGCAAACCCTTGCAGGGAGCACAACGAACTAAGAGGACAGCAAATAGCACAATGACTTATGCAGCTGACTCAGACGCTTCTACCTGTCATTAAGAAAGACTTTCCAGTGGAAACCGCAGAAGGAAAATAAGTCCTTCATCATAGCCAGCAATAGTCGAGGTGTGCCACGCTCACCACGAGAGTTCGAAGCAAGAACTGACTACAGAGACCTAGAATCGAGGGGACATACCAGCAAGACTCGCATCGTGGCACAGAATCGGCAATCATGGGACGCTGGGCTGAAGTGGACTCCTGCAGTACTCCAGGCTGAAGAACTCGGCCGCCAACAACAGAGGCAGCACGGCAGTCGTTCTCAGCCCCAAGGAAGGCTCCAGCCAGCCGGCGAGGCCTGCAACACACGGAACACACGTTAGATTCAGAGGTTAGAGTACAGGGAGAGGCCCGCCTGTCAGGAGCGAACGTGGCAGGTTTAAGGGCTCATCAGATTCTTTTTCACAGCACCATCAATATGTTGGGAAAAGAAGACATTATTTAGAGGTAATCATCATGAAACCCGGGCGATGCTCCGAAATCTAACCAATTGCGAGCGAACACGTGGTGAGACCTCAAAAACGGGCTGACGAAGTTCGTCGCCCAGAGGCAGGCAGTTCAGTAATGCTTGCAAAGAACTGCACTAGATTATGAGATGTAAGCGAAACAGAAAACGGGAAAAACTCACCAAAGAAATGCCAGGCACACAAGACATGCCGGTATAAAACACGAGCAAGTCCATGACGACGTCCGAGGTCCGCTGCGTCCGCTGACAAAGTGGCCGACAAACCTGACCTGGTGGATGGTGTGAGGCAGGGAGCGGAAAGGGAGCGGCTTATAAAGCAGGAAGCGGACAGCGCTGTCTAGGTTAGCCAACCTGCCGACACTAAGTTTCTCGGGATCCTTGCAGTTCTAACTAATATTGTTCATGTTTTAAAATTTTCCTGTGTTTCCAAACGAAAAAATACTTGAATGAAATAATCAGAGGATATCGATCAACAAATTCAATGCATTTTCCGGATGATAGATGGGGGAAGTTTCTCTCGCCGAAGGAAAATTCTCGAAAAGCGGCGCGCTTGCCGTTTGAAGCAGACTCGTCGAGGCCTGCTGTCGGCCTCAAAAGGGATCGGGCCGGGGCCTGTGTGTGTATGCAGGGACGGAAAGGAGCTTATAACAGGAAGCGGACAGCGCTGTCTGGTTCAGCCAACTGACGAACTGAACTTTCTCGGACCTTAGCAGTTCTGAACTAATATTGTTCATGTTTTAAAATGTTCCTGTGTTTCAAACGCAAAGAAATCCGCGCACGTGATGAAATAATGGGATAACATCAACAACTTAATTTGCTTTTCCGGATGATAGTATGGGCGAAGTCTCTCAGCCGAACGGAAAGATTTGAAAAGTCGGCAGTAAGCGTTGCCGGTTTCGACGGTCTACGTGACGCGATTGAATTCGCGCTGATTTCGCCGGCAAAACGGGATCGCAGGCAGAGAGACCTATGGCGGAAATGATACTTTTAATGCCAATTTGAACCATCATTTCAAAAGCTCCCTGCCAACTGCTACCGACAGTCTGTGAGAAGCGATCATTTCTGAGCTGATTCATGAGAGAAGGGCGCCCTTTTCTCATGGCTGATTCGTAGCATTTGCCTCTGTCGTCCAGAGATGCGCTCTTCTAGAGCATTTATCATTTGTAAAACCAGAGGGTTTTTAAAATTGATTCATTAATAAAACCTCACAACTAAATCAAACTACACAGGACTTGTTCCACGTCAAGGATGAACATGAACATGATGGTAGGCAATCCATCCGTCTCAACAGGTGGTTGGGTTGCCTGGTTGCGCGGCGCTAAAATCGCTCCCCCCTTCCCACTAGCCACCATGTAGCCACTGCACCATCAGGTAGCAGCGAAATCTGAGCCAGCCCTTATCTGCTTGCGCAGGAGACCGGAGTCCACAATTATTGATTAATTTGGTCCAGCAAGGTACCGGCTTCATGATCGTTCATCTTCCCGGCACGTCCCCGCCCCGCCCTACCGTTTCCGCCCTTCACCTGTCTGTCTCTGTCACTCCTGTTGATCTTGCACTTCCGTTCTCGATCCGGCCGCTGGGACTTGGACTCCAAGGCTGGGAGTGAGAGAGAGAGAGAGAAATGGTGTTTGCTTGTTTGTTGTGTGTGTTCTGCGTGGCCGGAAGATTTTGCGACAGAAATTAGTTGATTCGGAGATGGCATGGTAAGTCGACTTCATTGCGACAGCGGTGTTCGCGACGAACACGGCTGCAGTGATGTTTGCCACCGCTTTCGCGGCCGTCCGCTTTCGAAGTGCGACGGCCCAGCCGGGGTGGCAGGAGCCTGTTGGAGGTTATGTTTTCTTGTTGTTTACTGGTCCCGGTGTGATGCGTCGTTAATTTTTCGTGGCACTTGTCAACACGACCGGTTATACATCAGATTAATTTTTGGTTTCCAGTACGCTCGCTGCATCAGCGTTTGCTGGTGGTTTGCCTTGTGCCTTGCTTGGTTAAGATGGGATGTGAAGTTGGGTCCTTCTCTACATTTCAATTTCAATGCTCGTAAAGAGAGTACTTCATAATCTAATCTGATTTGGACGTTCAGTTATGTAAAATACTTTTGGACATAACTTCTGCATAGGAATCAAAACTGTTATAATATTAATGCAGGGATAAATGTCTGAATGAATTACGTTGATTTCAACTAACTTGGATACTGTAAATTTATTTTTGGCCAAGTTACATCGTGACATGTCTCCCTGCACACAATAAACATAAACCTTAAGGGCAGATATTTCGAGATGGACTGCCAACAATTCTTTTGTTTATTGGCGAGAGAGCCCTTAGCGAGACATAAAAATGTGATTCAGTCGCAACACTGTAAAAATTTTGACTGTCACTTGATGACAACCTCCGGGCTAATTTTCCCACCAAGAATGCCATTCAAACAATTGGTTACATTTTTGTCACACCCATTCAAATAACATCGGAGCTTTTATGAAAATGTCATCAATTTGTGTTGAAGTCTTAATCGTTTGAAAGTGATGAAACCGTCATCCAGATTTTATCTCAATGTAACAACAAAATTTTTCAGTTAACAGCCCCAGTAGAGAGCCTGAGAATGGCCATGTTTCTTTCCGTGTTTTATGACAGTCTAGTATCGTTTTAACCCCTGATGCCTGCGTTTCAAATAGTTGCGATTCAGAATGTAATATATCGTCATTAGGATTCAAAGATTTTTGGCTGCTTGCGTTTCAAATGGTTGCGATTCAGAATGTGTCGTCGTTTTGTTTCAGAGATTTATGGCTCGAATGAAGATGAGGCCCGACGCCGCGACATGCGTCAAGGTGGAGCCGCCGAGTCCGCCGTCAGGACGTCGCCGAGGCCGGAGTGCCGCCAGGAGCACCGTGAAGCGGCGTGGCAGGTCCGCGTCGAGGTCCGCGTCGCGGAGTCCGCCGCCAGGAAGCAGGGGATGTCGCCGAGGCCGGAGCGCCTTCAGGCACCCCGTCCAGCACCCCGTCCAGCACCCCGTCCAGCACCGCAGCAGGTCGCGGAGCAGGTCCGCGTCGAGGCCAAGGTCGCGGTCCGGGATGCGGCGGTCGCTGCGGGGTCGCTCCTTGGCGCCTCGGTCGTGCGCCCAGCGCAGCAAGTCGGCAGCGCCGGCCCGGGCCAACGGCCACACCAACGGCCACCCAACGGCCACCCAAGGGGAACGTCAAGCTGCCGCAGTATGGGGCCGCGCGGCCGTGACTGGAGCCCGCCACCTGCCCGAGGACAACGACAGTGCTACTCGCGGGCCAAGTCTGAGGCACCCAGAAGGCCAAGGAGCCCCTCCCCGCAGAGGCCGACACACCCTTCCCCGTGGAGGGGGCTGCCCGACCGCGACAGAGGAAGACACCAGTCGCGAAATCGTTCGCGAAGTCGCTCACGAAGTCGCTCACGAAGTCGCTCGCGAAGTCCGTCACGGCGCGCCTCGCCAAAAAGGCCTCGTCGATGGCCGTCCCCCGCAGCGCCGCGGCGCGTTGTCCGCGCCAAGTCTCAAGCTCCCTGCAGGACCTCGAGTCCCCACCGGCGTGGAGTCCGTGGCAAGTCACAGGCACCCTCGCGGGGCAGGGCGGTGTCGGAGGCGCCACCCGCCAAGAGGCCCAGGGGGCAGCCGGCACCGTCGTCATACAGGCCACGGCGCAGATCACCGATGCCGCCATGGAACGATATACCCATGGTGGGATGCATCAGAAGGGCACCGGTGAAGAGGAGGCCGTCACCACCGCCTTCACCAAGCTCGTGTAAGAGACCGCCGTCGCCGCCGAGGCCGTCGGAAAGGCACCGATCACAATCCAGGTCACCGAAAAGGCCTCGACCATCGCCGCCAGCCTCGCCGCTCCCATCCAGGTCGCCGTCTCCGCCCCCAGCCAGGTTGACGAAGAGGCCGCCGTCGCCGCCCCCAGCCAGGTCGACCAAGAGGCCGCCGTCGCCGCCCCCAGCCACGCCGACGAAGAGGCCGCCATCGCCGCCCCCAGCCAGGTCGACGAGGAGGCAGTCGTCGCCGCCCCCAGCCAGGCTGACGAAGAGACCGCTGTCGCCTCGCCCAGCCACGCCGACGAAGAGGCCGCCGTCGCCGCCCCCAGTCAGGTCGACGAAGAGGCCGCCGTCACCGCCCCCAGCCAGGTCGACGAGGAGGCCGCCGTCACCGCCCCCAGCCAGGTCGACGAGGAGGCAGTCGGCACCGCCCCCAGCCAGGCCTTCCCTCAGACCGTCGGTCGGCAGTTCCACGGGAGTCCAAAAGGATGCGATGCCGGACTCCGACTTCAGCAAGACACTGCCGGTCTGGCTGCGCGGCTCGGCCAAGGCCGTGCTCGAGGCGAGCCGGAGTTGCCGCCGGTGCAGAGGGGGTGGCTTCCGACCCAGATGGATCCAGACGGCGCCGGCGGGGGTAAGCTTCACTGTGTGCGGCTGCAGTGCCGACCTCGACCCCTTGGTGTTGGTCGGCGTGGTGGGCATGGCCGTGTGGACTCTGTCCAGGGCGCCCCCCGTCCAGGTGCTGTCCTTCGGCGGCAAGGACGAGTCGGGCAAGCGGCTTGTGGTCGACGCCGAGGACGCCTTCGTCAAGGAGCAGGTGCGCAAGCACTTCCATGTGGTGCCGGGGCCGCGCCGGGTGGACGAGGCCGCGAGGGAGGAGGCCTTGCGTGTTGTGCTGGGCCGCATTGCCGGTGTGGTGCGGCTGCGCGCCGCCCGCGAGACAGGCTGGTGCCCGTCGTGTCTGGAACACGGCGTTGCCCGCCGCCTGACCTCTAACCATACCGTCGGAGACTGCAAACACCGAGCGTGCTGGTGCTGGTGCTGCCAGAGTGGCTCTCCCTTCCGCGGCCTGCTCGACAAGTACGCCGTCCACCAGATTCTGTCGGTCCGCCTGGGAGAAGCCAGGATGAAGCCCGTCAAGACTGAAGAACTTTCACGCAGTTCGCCTCTGGATTCTTTGGATTCGTCAGGAAGTTCCGCGGCTTCATCAATCTCCTCAGCAAGTTCTTCGTCGACTTCCTCGCCAAGTTCTCCTTCAAGTTCTTCGTCAAGGCCCTCTTCAAGTTCTCCGGCAAGTTCTCCCTCAAGTTCTCCGTCAAGGTCCCCGGCAAGGTCCCCGGCAAGTTCTCCCTCAAGTTCTCCCTCAAGTTCTCCGTCAAGGTCCCCGGCAAGTTCTCCTTCAAGTTCCCCGGCAAGTTCTCCTTCAAGTTCCCCGTCAAGTTCTCCGTCAAGGTCCCCGGCACCTTCTTCGTCAAGGTCTCCGTCAAGGTCCCCGACACCTTCTTCGTCAAGGTCTCCGTCAAGGTCCCCGGCACCTTCTTCGTCAAGGTCTCCGTCAAGGTCCCCGGCACCTTCTTCGTCAAGGTCTCCGTCAAGGTCCCCGGCACCTTCTTCGTCAAGGTCTCCGTCAAGGTCTCCCTCTAGTTCTCCATCAAGGTCCCCGGCACCTTCTTCGTCAAGGTCTCCGTCAAGGTCCCCGGCACCTTCTTCGTCAAGGTCTCCCTCTAGTTCTCCGTCAAGGTCCCCGGCACCTTCTCCCTCAAGGTCTCCGTCAAGGTCCTCGGCAAGTCCTTCGTCGACCCCATCTCCGGACTCAACCTCCGCTGTGCGTGCTGAAGCTTCCTCGCCTGTGTCTTCTGAGGTGGTTTCTCCTGTGCCGTCGCCTGGGCCTTCTGGAGAGGCCTCGCCTGTGCCCTCTGGAGAGACCTCCCCTGTGCCTGCTGAGTCGCCCTCTCCTACTCCTTCTGATGTGCCTCCAGCAACGCCCACTCGTGCGCCTCCTGGAACTTCTGGAGCGCCCTCTAGTCCCGTGCCTTCTAAACCACCATCTCCCGCGTTGTTTCAAACGTTTGAGCCACTCTCTCCTGTGTTGTTTGAACCGTTGGAAGAACCACGCTCTCCTGTGTTATTTGAAACGTACGAACCACCATCACCTGTGTTGTTCGAAACGTACGAACCACGCTCCCCTGAGTTGTTTGAAGACCCATCCTGTCCTGTGTCGTTTGGAACGCCCCCTCCTGTGCTAACTCTCCGGGCGAAGTCGTTGAGTCTGAAAAAACTCAAGGTAGCCGTCGACGAAGCGCTCAATGCTGCACCGGCTAAGGCGTACTCCAGCTTTCGGTCTGAGCTTCCTAGTCCCAAGCAGTCGCTGCAAGTCATGGCGGTGCACGTCCGGCCCAGCGGCCCTGCCAGCCCCATGCCTGCGACGGCCGCCAAGCCCCTGCGCCCCGTCACAGTGGTCGCCGAGGCCTCCTCCACCACGGCCAGCACCGCGCACAGCACCGCGCCCAGCACCGCGCCCACGGACGACTGCAGCCCGCCAGTGCAAAGCCCGGACGCCGTCGCCGAGGACAGCCCGCTGGCCGATGAGGAGCCCTCAGGTACAGTACTACAGTACTCTGAACGCGTTTTGAGCCTCTGAGTCGCTAAATGGGACTCGAACCCAACGTGTAACCCGACCAATGGATTCCTCGTTCGGAGAGTAGTCCATTGGTGGGGTCACACGTTCGGTTGGAGTCCCATCTGTGGTTGGGCGGGGAGAGGGGGGGGGGGGGGGGGCATTTGTTATCCATGCGTGTCCCACTCCCCCTTCCGCGTGGCGTGGCCCAAACGAGGACGGAGTGGGACCGGTCCGGACCAGGACTAGTTTGGCCCTGGGCTAAGGCTCATCAGCTCAGAGCCCAGCTGGGGCCTTCCGTTATCACACTTATCTTGGTGTTTCGTCGCGTTTTTTAACCGCTTCTCTTCCTCCGCTCCACAGACGCCGACCATTCGTGTCTCTGGTGCGGCCAGACGTTCAGCGACGAGGCGGAGGCCGAGGCGCACTCCGTCACGCACGCCGAGCCGGAGTCCGAGCCCGAGTGCGCGTCCAAGACGGAGTCGGAGCTGGAGGCCGACGCCGTTCCGGACTCCAAGGCGCTGCAGCTGCGAGAGGCGGTGCTGCCCGCCGGAGTGGATCCGGACAACGCGGACGACGCGCCGGTGGTGGCGCCGGAGGCCATGTTGACGCCGGACAGGTGCGCGCCGCTCGTCGGGGACTTCGCCGTCGCTCCTCCTCCTCCTGTCAATCCTAGTCTCAGCTGTTGTGTGTCTGCGCAGCTTGCGCAGCGCGCGCCGCAGGAGCACGGAGAGTTTAGCCCGGTACTGCGAGGAATCCCCTGGAGGGCGCCGGAGCCGCCTTCGTCGACGCTGGCCTGCAACGAGTGCGCGCTGAGCTTCAAGACGCGCGTGCAGCAGGCGCGGCACCGCCTGGTGGCCCACTGCAAGCCGCGGTCGCAGCAGTGCCCCGAGTGCCCCGCTACCTTCGGCTCGCGCGTCCGCCAGCGCCTGCACGTGGCCGCGACGCACCGCGCGCTGCGCCTGCCCTGCCAGGCGTGCCCCGCGCGCTTCCCCTCCGAGCTGCTCCTCAGCGCGCACCTCCTGGTGGAGCACGCCGCGCGCGGCGCGGTGCTGCCGTGCCCCGCCTGCTCGTCGCCCACCACCTCGGCCGGCCAGCTCACGGCGCACATCCGCGCCTTCCACCCGCGCCAGCAGCCACTGCACTGCAGCGTGTGTCCGCGGGACTTCGACAACGTCTCCTCGCTGCTGCTGCACCACTACGGCCACCTGGCCGCCATGCGCCGCCAGCACTGCGCCGCGTGCGTGGCCTGGTTCCCCGCCATGGAGCTGCTGCAGGCCCACGAGCGGTGCGCGCACGGCGACCCGCTCCGCTTCGACTGCCCCGAGTGCGAGCACCACGATCACGCCGCCGAGGCCCTCAGCCAGCACCTTGCCAACGCCCACCCCGGCGCCACGCCGTACGCCTGCCGGTGCGGACTGCGCTTCAACGCGCTGGTGGCCTTCCGCGAGCACGCCGTGCAGAGCCTGCACTTGGCGGCGCTGCTCGCGGACGTCGAGGACTCGCCCACCTTCGTGTGCAGGGTGTGCAAGTTCGAGTCCAAGGAGCGGCTCGCCCTCATGGAGCACGAGGAGGCCCACATGCAACTGCTGCCCCTCCACAGGGTGGCCCAGGTCCTCACCCTCATGCAGGATGCCAAAGTTTATTCAGACTCGTAGAGACAATGTTGCCAATTTTGAGTCGTTAGGATAAGCAGAATTGTTGCAATGTTATTGGTTTGTTGCAGGATTATTATTTTCAGTATCTTTAAAGCAAATGGTGACATCCCTGTGATAAAAGAAGTAATTATTTTTATGCCTTGTTTTTGAGAAACTGTGGGTTATGAAATGATGATTTCCTTTTTGAGATGAAAGATTGTTTCCCAGATCTCCTGAGAGCCGTATGTGCTCTATTGTTTTATTTCATTTGTTGAAGATTATATTGTGGAATAACTGTAAAATTGACTAATTTTTACCTACAAGTTTTTCTTTGTAGAATGATTTTCCTCATAAGTTTGTGTAACTAGATCTAGTTTTTCTACTGATTGGGGCAGTGAAAATCTTATTACTTTTGTTTTTTTGTTTTTAATAGTCTAAGCCATGAAAACTATTACAAATGACTGATTTGCATTTTTGTTGTGTACAACAACCAAGCGATGAAAAGATTAAATGACTGATACACTTGCATTTTTCATCGTTAAAATCATTCTCCTGAAGTTCCAAACGTACATATTTTATCACAAATTTTTTATTGTGGGTTCACTTGTTAGTTAAGTTTCAAGCAAAGATTTTAAATTAATCTCCATGGCAAATAATAACTTGTGGCAAGAGCCAGCATTTATCTATACTTATCTCATGTTGTGTTCCTCTGTTGTCCTCATCGCCCTGGATGTAGAGTGGCAATGGTAACCACATAGCGTGGAAGTCTCCCGCAGGGGTTCGACGAACAGTTTAAGGAATAACCGGAACCGGAACGGGGCATTTAGAGTTCTAAAGGGCCTTTAGAACTCGAGAGTCCTAAAGGGCATTAAGGACTCTAGGGGCACTAAACTGTTCGCCGGAGTTTTTCATTCATAGCAAGCGTGGAAGCCTCGCGCAGGGGTCCGCTCCTCACATCAGTGCCGTGGCGTGTGTGTCAAAGTTGGTTCGAATTTCAGAGCAGGTTCAAGACAGGTTCTGGCTCTAATCTCATTCATTTTCGACCTGACCACCGAAGAGGACTGCCGCGAGACTACTGGTTTGGTTTAAGAGAAATTTGCAGGAAGGTTGCATTAGAGTCCCAAACGCCAAATATAGGGCCCTTTGAATCAGTGGAGTTGGTTCGTAAATTTGGCTGATGCCACCTTGAAGGTAGGCAAGGCGACTTGTTGGCATTTAGCCAGAGGGTAGGCAAAAGGTGTGATGTACTCTGCAAAAATTCTGGCTGGAGTCACCCCTAAGAAGATTCAGCTTTAGAGTGGGTCATAGAGTAACACTCTGTTAAGTGGGTGTTAATAGAGGACAGGGCTGTGCTCCATTTTTAAAAAGTGGAAGGAAAGTGGAAGAAAGAAATGAGAGCCAACTTTAAAAAGAGGGATTCAATTTATTCGTGCAAACAACGACATGACAAATTATAACAAAGCAAACATCAACAAATCAGCATGGTTGAACAATACACTACTACACACTACCAAATAGAATTAGGATTGCCTGTATAATAAAACATTGAGAATGACATCTTATCTTCCTTATCATCCTATCTCCCCAAATTGCTTGAAATGCATCACATAGCTACAAACCATATCTCGGCGAGCATGGAACCCATGCATGTTACAATAAACAAACCACTCAAAGATAGGAAAAATGCTTTCTGGACTAAACATGTTCTAAATTTTTTTTTCTTCAAATATGTGATATGGGTTAGAAAATCTCCCAATTGTTAATCAAAAACATCATAAGACAAACATAAAGATAAATTATTAAGTACATTGCAATAATGTTGTTGATGTCGTCTTCTTTTCATTTAATTGTCACTGGATGCATCTTACATTAACGTTTCCTTTTTTGGAATGTATGTTCAATGAGATAAAAGGGTAGAAAAAACTCTTCGTATGTTTAAATTTTTTTTGGGGTGGGATTAAAATACTTCAATTTATCGCACAGGATCTTGGTTGGTTGAAGTCCATAAGTAGCACTGGTACCGCACAACAGAGAGGAGCAGCTTAGCCCAGTCCATGATCCTCAAAGAATCCTTGAGGTGTTTCCTCCTAGAACAGAGAGAGAAAATGTCATGTAGGTACCAAAATTCATTAATGTAAGAAGAAACAAAATGGAGAACTTTTATGATTCACTTCCAATTATCTACAAAGGATATGCTGTAAAACCAATTTAAGAAATTAAAATTGAAAAATGATGAAAAAAAAAGTTTTAAAAAAGAAAACAGTCATAATTATTGAACAGCACAGACTTCTGTCCCTTAATCCTAATTGCCTGACAAAACAAGCTCCTGTTGATTCTTAGTTGCTTCAAAAATGCCACCTGAAGTCCGAAATTGAACCAGAAACATAGAGAATGTATGCAATGAATGTTCCTAATACAGATTCAAAGGTGTAGAGTTGAATAGCTACAATAGAGGCAATTGTCATAAACTTAGTGGTAATGTGGCATCACACTACATATGAAAGGGACAAAAGTCAAATGCACTTGATATTAATTTGTGATTTAAAAAAAAATACATGCATCTCTAACAGTACCCAGGAAACTTTGTATGGTGAACATGAACTGTAACAGCTCTCCAAATCATAAATCAGCCATGCTAGCCATTTAGAATTTCCAGCACCCAATGAAGCAACAAAGAAAGTAAAGAAGCATTTTCAAATTGTAAAGGAAATTCAAAATGAAGTCCTAATAACATGAGGGACATACCTAAAAAGTGATCATCCTGCTGATGTAAACAATCAAACAGTAACTTTCTTTTCTTTCTTTCAAATTTTAGAAGTGATGTTTGCTCTGAACAACTTAAGAACACAAATGAGATCTTCTGCTAGATGCACAAGTAAATTAACGGAAAAGAATAGATTCAGAAAAGATACACTTCAACCTCAAGACTCAAATTTGATATAACCCTGAGTAAATGTGTACATGACGAAGTTAACTGCATGAAAGGAAGAGCAAATGATTGAAGGAATTAGCAAAGGCAAACTAAAAGAAAAATGATTTTTCTTGAACACAATTACACCAGGACATTGGTTTCTTTTTATTTGTACCTCATCTACATTGATATACTTTGAAAAACAAAATATGAAAAAAAAAAAAGAACCCATGTGTGACAATACGAAGAATATATATTTATATATGTATGTATACTTTGGTCTGGATCACTGCCACAATGCAAGCTAGTAATTATATACTTTGAAAGGCTCCTATCACACGAAGCAACATAAGTTCAGTACAAAATTCTGTATGGGAACGTAATTTACTTCTGTCATGTGCCTCAAATTCTTATTTGACTATAGACTCTTTATTTTGATTAATATGGTTTAACACGCTGACTGCGACAAGTCTACCCATATGGGTTCAATCCGAAGACATTACAAAACCAATCACAGTCAACATGTTAATGCAGTACTTGCCTTTATATCTCAAAAACATTAGATAGCTTGATATGATAATGATATTTAAATGGGAATTTTTAATTTTTTTTTTAAAGATAGAATTGATTGCAATTACGTATTCTAATACTTTTGATGCTTATTGAGGTGCACACCTACTACAAGAAGTCACACCAATTATGAAACCACTAAAACTCCACAAAAGACAGAAAAATAAAATAAAATTGACCTTTGAAATATTTTGGCTCAATTAGGCAAGGTTATCACATTTTACTATTTAGACCAGCAGTATTAAATTGTTGAGCCTTTGAAAACAGCACAATAAATAATTCTGATCCCTAACTGAATAAATTTGAGTAACATAGATAGGATAATATGTATGTACAAACTACATTTGGATTGGCACTATCACGCTTTCGGTGCTCTATGGCAATTACAGCACATAGGACAGTTTATAAGACACACGCAACACGCACATCCCATGAAAGCTACAGGGAATACTAAGGAAAACCCCTGTAGTTGGGTTGGCACTATGCTGCCCACTAAGTGGCATATTGCTACATACATAATACTAAGACTAACAACAAAACCAATAAAATCAATTGACAAGTATAGAATGACAAGAAATTATTTCAAGAGACCATTGCACATCTTGGCAAGTTGATAGCTTGACAGCAGAATGGTAAAACACTGTGAATGAACAGGAAAGCCATAACATGCTAACGGCCATTGAAGTGTTTACACACATTTGAACAACTAAAAGGCAAGAACATGGATCACAGAATAATTAGCTCTCCATACAAAGGACATGTCTACAATCATAAGATCAAAACCATTGAACTTGGAACAAAACAAGTAAATACCTCAGCAAATACTTTTGAGAAATGAGAAGCGACAAAATAGAAAGTAATTATTTCAAGACAGTACTTTGGTCTCCCCTGTCAACAACAAACAAGTGCGCAAAAATCATCACACATTTATGCTTGATGGGTCTGAGAGACCCACAACCATAGTGCTATGTACTAAGCTCATCTAGAAGTAATTGAATTATTAAAATAACTTTGATTATCAGTTTAACATATTTTAAAGAATTGATATTGCATTATATTACATCATTTGACACTATAATATTTATCTATGTTGGTCCCTTTAGAAGGACATTTGTTCATCCTTCAGAACATTACTATGAAAATGGTTCAGATAACAATGATACTGTATTTATGCTTTCACAGAAAGGGTATTTTGCATCTTTCGGTAGAAGATAATGAAAAATATTTTCTACATGTAGAGTATTAAGCACAATTTGTGAGATCTGAAATAAAGTTAAATAGAGCTTTACAGAAAGTGAAAAAAAATTACACTGCTTGTATGGAATTGGACATTGCAAACCAAGCCTTTTCCCCCAACCTAATTCCAGTTCAGCAACTCAAGCAACCATCACCACATACTGTATTTATAAAAATTGATCCCCTGAGTTTTGTACGAATCCAGTGACAGATGGAGCTTTCCTAACACAATACATAGAACTGAGAACATGAGGATGCTACCACAAGGAGAATTATACTCAAACAATCCACCGTATTTCACATTTGATTTTTAAAAACCATGATGGACTACATAAACATCACTCTGGAAAGGCAATTTAGAATGAAAAGGAAGTGAGCAGTGGAAAGTCCAATCATGAAACTGAAACTGGACTTGCGGAGATAGTTGCGTGCAGGGTGCATTGAGGCCAAGGCAGCCAAGGTAGACAAGATGCCGATGATGATGGTGGTAGAAGACGGACAGAAGGGTAGCCTTGGCGCACTTTGGCTTTGACTAGCTACAGGAGGCCTATCTCCCGTAGGGCGCCCTCCACCTCGTCATCCTTTGGAAACAGTGCAAACAGAAGGCTTCATGCTAAGAGGAGCTCCTACCAAGCTACAGCACAGTATAAGAGCCATTGCAGTTAAGTTCTGTCCTCAACCAATTTATTCTAAAGTACCCAATTTAGAGAGAAAAGACCCAGATATCAATGCAAAAGGATTTTGCAACATCAACATACCTCTATGAATAAATGTAAGACTATTTACAGGCTGATATAGACCAACACAAACACACAAGCCAACATAGAAAGGAAACACAAAAACAAACAAACATACAGCAAGCACAAAAGCTCATACTGCGAGCAGAAATCTCAAACATATAGATTCCACTAAGATTGTACTGAGACAATAATTCCAAAATTGAGCAAAAGTTGTGAGAATGCTTAAATGACTGCGCTAGGTCCTTACTAAAAACGCCTTCTACCTACATACTTTGCTAAACTAACATTGTAGACATCAATATGAACTTACTTTACAAAATAGGCTCTCTCATTGGCTGACTTCTCTGTTAAGTGCACAACAGATTAGTAATGCACTAAACTCATGCAATTTTCTCTCCCTAAAAACACAATGGCATAATGTCATGCAATAAGATATTTGCATGCATTCATTTTGAGCTTCACACAGGTCAGTCATGCCAGTTACAAAGAAAATCAGAAGCAGGATATTGCAGATATTTGAAATCTTTCAATAATATAAACTCAAAACAAATTAATGAAGTGTGTAGCCAAATTGAACTGAATTTAATAAGGGATACAAGCATAGAAAGAGCGCTTAAAGGTTGCCTTGTGAGTGGGGCTCACTTAACACCTACTCTCTTTTCTTTTAAAGGTACCCTAGCACATAATGTTGTCAATAATCAGAGAACAAAAATCTCAGACTTGTTCTGTAATATGCACCAAACTTTGAAAAGGTCTGTTGTATCTATTTTGACAGCCCAACTAGATTCCTAACTTGCAATATCAAAATTGAGCACAGCAAAATTGAGCACAGCAGCACAGTAGGCTGCTTTACTGCCAGAAATAGACTAATTTTCAGAATAAGTATTTTTTTTTACGCTCAGAAAGAAGAAAAAGGGAAGAACTCAATAATAGTGTGGTGCAAAACATTGAAAAACAATGATCAGGACGCAAGAGGCAAGGGGCACAGTAAGAAGGTATCTCTCCACTCTCAATCCAGCTCAAAACAACTTTTGAGAGCAGGTAGTTTTCATACAAAAGACAAAACACCTAAAGACTTGTACCGTATCATATCATCGAAAGCAACAAAAATAAAGATTTGAAAACATAACAAATACACACACACACACACACAAAAAAAAAAAAAAAGAGAGATAAAAAAATATTTTAAAGTGCAGACAGGATTCATGCATAAGTAACTGATGTTATTCACACATGGGCTTTACAAATAACATATACAATAAGGCAAAGGCTGCAAAGGGTGCTTTCTTTCCTTAACTATTACAAAATACTGTAGGAGCCATTAATATGGCTAACTAAAAGTATGTGTGGGGTGAAAGAGAACATGTGGAAAGGAAAGGAGAGGCAGGTCATAGAGGAAGTAGAGGATGCAGTAAGACACTACTGCAATGGAAGAAGCAAAGACAGTTTCACAAAACAACAATTATGGAATGACACTCACATCCCCTTGGAACAAGCATGCATATTTCTTAAGTATCAAGATTTAGACGAGCTCACAAATCAATACATGGCATGAGAAAAACATAATACAAGTACAAGAGGAGAATACTGTAATTTAAAGGTGTTATTCGAGTGACAAAATCTAAGTAGAGAGATTCAAGAAACTAGTTGACACAATACCCATCAGTAACTACTGTATTTGTTAAATATAAAAAACACCCTAAATTTAGAGGTTCCTAAATAAACAAACTTGTGTTTGCATAAGATGATTACTAAGGAAAAAAATAAAAAATAGAATCAGTTACATGAACACATTCCAAAGCCCCCAAAACTGGGCAACAGGGTGCATGTTATATTAATAATAAATACAGTGCTAGATGACATTAGCTATGAGAGGGTTATAAAATGCCACATCAAAAGCAGCAATAATACTGAGGAAACTTTGCTAAATCTACATTTGTTTGGCAGGCACTTAGGACAACTGAGATAAAAGGAAGAGAAGTATTAAAACAAAACAAAGGTTTAAAGTAGCTCTGAAGGGATGGAGATACAGCTTTGTCACCAATTTTAGTTTTGAAAGAGATTACAAAGTTATTTGATCATGGCAATGATCTAGAGTTGAATAGCTGTGTCACCATAACTAACCTCTTGCAAGAGATCCTGCGCAGCAATGGCTTTCAGCACATTCTTCTTACTTGTCTCTTGGATTTCGCCTCCCAGAAGTAATTCATCTAATATGAAGTAGGCTTTTTCAAAATTGAATATTATGTCCAGTTCACATACCTGCAAAGTAAAAACTGATTCTCAGTATGTCTAAACGCATATAACAATAAGATAATCCCCAAGTGAAGTGTCACTTACACTGCCAAAATATTTGTCTAAGAGCTCAACGTAACGATGGATTATTTCTAATGTTAACAGTTCATTGGCATCCTGCTCAATGGCACAGCAAAAGTAGAGACTTGCGTACCTGAAAAAAAAAAGAAAGGAAGTTTCGAATTAGACTCAGATCAAACCTCAGGCTAACCATGGTCTTACTCAGAATAGTTACCTTTTGTACACAATTTTTACATCTTTCCATTCCAAGAAACTACACATCTTCGGTTTTCTAGCGAGGATTGTTGTTATCAGCTCTCGAGTTATCTTTTTCTTTAATTTGTCTGGGTGTGCCACATACCATTTTTGAAGTCTTAACTTGCCTTGACGGCTAAATAGAAGCATAAACTGCATCTGTAAAATGAACAATAGCAATTGCATCAAAATAATAATAGCTAACAAGATAGTGCATGAATGTGGTTGAAAACTTTTCCTAATAAACATAGACCAGCTGTGAGAGCCAAAGTTCAACAATAAGTAACTTGAACCTTGGCTATTGTAATCAATAATTTTATTGAAGGATGTAGATGTGTTCTGGACAACACTGCAAAAGAGCACCAGCGAATTTGAGGCGCAGCCTCCTCCGTGAGAATAGGTTAGAGCAAAATACACAAAGGTGTGATTCCTTCAGTAACGCTCGGTTCAACTCTACTTAACGACAAAACGTGGGTTCTTACCGTACCCTGCGACACCTTGAATACAATTCAATACTAAGTGGGACACACCCACACAAATTACAGTAAATACAACAAAAACATAATACGTATGTCCACCTAAAACGTCACTTTCATTGCATTTTTCTTGAGCTTGAGCTCGACTCGTCGAGTTCGAGTTCGGCTCGGCTCGGTTCGCGGGTTCGGGTTCGGGCTCTTCGGGCTTCGGCCGCTTCGGCTTTACAAGTGTTTTAATAAAATGAAATTGGTGTCAATTCCTGTTATTGTATCATAATGTTTCATTGATGTCATTTTTCTTGTCACATAATCAGTTCAGTCAGTTGGTTGTCTATGGTTCAGTTCGTTCAATTTCCCAGTCCAGAGCTGAGAGAATCCAAAGACAAACCTCGAGTTGCCACATCTGCCGCAAGAGGCAGCACCGTAGCGCGAGCAGAGCACGTACTAGCGGCAAGTAGGCGGCAAGAAACGAAACCCCAGCCGATTTGAAAATACACTTGGAGTGTTTGGTAAGGTCTAAAGTTACACTTCAGTGCTTCCAGTAGCTTTTATTTGGACGTTGGCAGCATCAGGGTGTGGAAGCTGGAATGGTGGCGATACCCCAAGGCACGGGTTTCAAGTGCACTCACAGACATGGAGTATCGTCGATCGGGGTTCAAATAAATCACTCTTTGCTGCTTTACTCAGTTGTAGAGTTGTAGACGGGTCCTTTAGAGGTAGAGATGGGATTGCCCTGATGCTTTATTGTGTTTTGGACTTTTGCCTCAAATTGAATGATGAGGGAAGGGTGGAAAAAGATAGATGAAGGTCATTATTGGCTTGTAGAATAAATTTTAATACTCCTTTTGTCACAGATACAACCAACTCATCAAGTCTGCTCCGTGGTTGTGTTCAAACACATTAAACATGATATATGTTTGTATATATTTATAAATCAATTCAAGTAACTATTACATAGAAAACAACACAAACATTTACAATAATTTGCATATATACAGCCTGATTTGTGAATTTTACAGGAAACTAGTACTGATGACTGTTTTGTACGAGGCTTTTTTGTATGTATTAATATTATCATGAAAAGAGGCACAGTAGTCCTGTCTTCAATCTTCACCATGCAAGTGCATCTGCGGTCTAAACTCAACGCTTAATTGAGTATTCCTAAAATTGAGGTGCATTTATTCAGGAGTATTTTCAGAATAAAATTCTAATTGATGAAGAAAATTGTATGGTAGTTGGGAAACCACCTCACACTCTCTGTGCTTTTTTTTTTCGTTTAACCAATACTGCAACTGCTCTAAGCAGGGCTGTTTAGAGACAGAGTACTTCTTCAATAACATTTCTTAGCAAATAATCTTTGGTATATTTGAATTTGAGTGACAAAGAAATAGATCTCATAACACTTACACAGAAGACTACATTGTTTAAAATTGCGTACTGATAGTGCTTTTTGACAGTAACACAGAAAAAAATGCATTTCAATAGATAGCAATGAATATATAAGTGTGAATGACTAAAACATTCTACTAAGTCGCTCTTAACAATAGTTTATCTTTACAAAAAGGTAACATAAAATTTTATGATATAAATAGCATTATTGCCCTCTAAAAATTACACAGAAAACTTGTAACAACAACAGTAACAACATTATTATCTATTGACAAACTGAAAGAAAGAAGGGGCTGGGAAGTGTTCACTCAAAGGCTGCAATGCGGTGACATCAAAAGACATGCGGTTAAGGAGAAGAAGAAGAATGAGAATGGCATATGAAAAGAGAAAGAGACAGACGGATATACTGAGAGGGGGTGGGGGAGGGAGGGAGAGTGGGTTGTTGTTAGCCTAGACGGGTGCAAAAATTGTCCAGAGAAAATCAGAATGTTATATCACAATTGTGGTGAGCTAGGTGGACATCTGCAGGCCCTCTTGCTCGGCGTTGTTGTTGTTGAGAGCGAGCTCCGCCTTGCCCAGGCTGCTGAGCCCCTCGTAGGCCAGGGCCTTCTGCACGACCATGGCGAGCGGCGAGTGCTGCGGGCTCCGCCGATCGTCCTTGTCGTCGTGGGCGTCGCGGTCTCGGTCTCGGTCTCGGTCGAAGGCGTGGATGCCCTGCAGGCCCTGCAGGCCCTGGGCCAGCCCCTGCGCCGTGGCGGCGTACAGGTGCGGGGGAAGGCCGTCCGGGACGCTGCCGCCCGAGTACGTCACCTTGCCCATGAAGCTGCGGATCTCGTCGAAGTACGCGTCCTCGCGCTCGTTCTCGTTGGAGCTGCCGGGGCTGTCGGCCACCCCCACCGAGCCGTCGTCCGTCTCGTGCTTCTTGAGGTGGCGGTCCAGGTTGGTCTGCTGGCCGAAGCAGCGCGCGCACAGCGGGCACTTGAACGGCTTCTCCTTGTGGTGGATGTTGCGGACGTGCCGCTGCAGGTTCGACGAGATGCTGAAGGAGCGCTCGCAGAACTTGCACTTGTAGGGCTGCTCGCCCGTGTGCGTGCGGAGGTGGCGCGTCAGGTTGGCGGAGCGCGGGAACACCTTGCCGCAGAACTTGCACGAGTACCTGTCCTTGAGCTTGTTGCCGGTCTGCGTCGGCACGGCGGTCTGGCCGGGGACGCCTCCGCCCACGCTCAGCACGTCCTGGAAGGGCTTGCTGGAGCCGAAGTCAGACAGCGGCGAGCGGAGGAGGTCGTAGGGCGGCCGGTTGGCGTTGCCGCCCAGGCCGTTGGTGATGCCGTTGGCCAGACCGTTGGCCAGTCCGTTGGCCAGCCCGTTGGCCAGAGAGCCCAGGAACGGGAAGTGGCGGTGTGGGCCGAACGGGGGCGGGTGGTGCAGCAGCCTGTCCGAGCCGGGCCCCGGCGCGCTGAAGCCGGGGAAGGTGGGTGTGGGCCGGTACATGGCCTCCAGGATGGACTGCGGGATGGGGTGGATGGGGCGCGGGTAGGCCATGGGCACGTGGTGGCCGGGGCCGGAGGAGGGCGGCGACATCGCTGCGGTGGGCGACGACACCGTGGTCGAGCTGATCTCTTTGTCGGGCTGGCCGGGTCCGGGCGGCGTCCTCGGCGTGCTGGCGGTCAGCTTCGGCGACGGCGTGCTCTCCGCGCGCCGCGGAGGCCGCGGACTCCGCTGCCGCCTGTCGTCGCCACCGTCAGCCGAGACCGGGGACGCAGCCGGGCGGCGCTTGACTCCGACGCTGAGGTCCAGGGCCTGCTCCTGCTCGTCCTCGTCGCGGTCGTCGTCACCTCGCGATCGCTTGCCGACGGACTCGTCGTCACGGGGGCTGCGGCTGCGCCTCGACAGGTCGCGGCCGACGCGCTCATCGCGGGCCTCCTCGTCGTCCTCGTCCTCGGACGTGGCGCTCTGCAGCATGTGGCGCGGCAGGCGCGGCTCGGGGAAGGCGCACGCCTTGGCGCTGGCCGCGCTCGTCAGAGGCCGGGCCGGCGACGGCGTCTCCTTGTTGGCGGCCTCCTCGGCCACGGGCGGCGACACCTTGCTGCTCTGCGGCTGCATCCCGCGGGACGGCGGCAGCGGCGCGGGCGGCGGCGTCATCCACTCCTTGCCGGCGTTGGGCGACGGCAGCCCGCCCTTGATGAGCGACGGCGGCGAGCGCGAGCGCTCCCGCTCACGTTCCCGTTCCCTCTCGAGCAGCTTGTGGTGGAACATCTGCAGCTGCGAGTTGAGGAAGGGGGCGCCGTGGGGGCTGTGAGGGCCGGCGGACGGCGGGAAGGACAGCCCGGAGTAGGGCCCCAGCAGGCCGCCGGGGTAGAAGGGGCTGAGGGCGCCGCCCATAGCACCGCCCATGGCGCCGCGCGGATACAGCATGAAGGGCGAGGGCTGCTGCTGCGCCATGGCGCCGCCGCCACCGCCCGGCGCGGAGCCAGACGTCCCGGACGCGCCGGTCGAATCGCAGAAGCGCTTGTGCTTGTGGAGGGAGGTGACGGTGCTGAAGGCCTGGCCGCACTGCGTGCACTTGATCTGCATGCGGCAGTCCGCGTGCATGCGCTTGTGGCGGCACAGGTTGGAGAACTGCGTGTACGCCTGCAACAACAACCAGAAGACGTCAGAATTAGGCCATCAGAACAAACCGGCCACAGGCGCCACATGCCGGCGCCGCGGCGCCGCGCTCACCTTGAAGCAGACCTCGCACTGGAAGGGCTTGACGCTGGAGTGGATGTGCGTGTGTTGCTTGAGCCCCGACGAGGTGGCGAAGGTCTTGCCGCACTCCGCGCACGCGTGCGAGCGCGCGCCCACGTGGTGCGAGCGGATGTGGCGCTGGAGGTTGGACGGGTCCGAGAAGACCTTGGAGCAGTTCTCGCAGGGGTAGCGGCGCGCCTCCGGGTCGCTGAGACTGATGGGCCGGACGTCCGGGTGGGCGAGCGCCTTGTGGCGGTAGAGCGCGGGCCTCCACGAGAAGGCCCTCGGGCAGGAGCCGCAGCGGAACTGGTCGGCGCGGTAGCTGTGCGCGCTCACGAGGTGCTCGTCGAGCCTGGAAGCAGAGGCACCAAAGTTAGTCCTCGGCATGTGCCCAAGGAGGAACGAGTCGTTCACGTCGTTCTGTCTCTCTCGCACTCATGGGGCGTCCCGTATAGGTGCGAGAGAGACAGAGCGAATCAGTCGGCAGGTGGCGGAGGGAGCACCGCTCATTTGGCGCCGGTCAGCAGATCATTGGAATAAAAAAGGGAACGACCGCCACCGCTGATGGCAGTGGATCAATGACTGCACAGCCTGTCGGCGTTCCCAGCAACATCCTTCTCCCCCGCCCTCCTCTACACTCCTCTACACTACGGGGGGGTTGGGGGTTGGCGTGCCCCTAATCTTGAAAACGCGCGAACGCAAAGGGCTGCCGATGAGCGCCGCGCCCCCTCCCGCGCCGCGGGACTTCGTCGACTTCGTCGCGGCCAACTAACTAACAAAACATCCTAATGACGCCAATGACACCGTCACGGCCTTGCAGGCGGGGCGCACGCGGGGCGCACGCGCCTGTCGCGTGACGCGGTGGAAGCGTCGTCGCTCTGTCTCTCTCGCTCGTCGTCGGGCGAGACGGAGACAGCGACGAGACGATCCTACGGGATGGCTTGGCGGCCGCGCGGGGGTTGGAGGCCATGCAGGCTGGCATCCAGCCGGCCGATTCCAACTGGATTTTCGCCACCGTGTCACAGCAAGGGCGAGAGAGACAGGGCGAACGGGGTTTCCGTCGCCCCGTAAGGACGAGAGAGACGGGGCCGCAATGAGTCTGCTAGCCAGGCCAGCACGTCCCGCGTCCCGCCCGGCCCCGCTGCGTGACAGCAACACGTTCGCGTGTTTGCCTATCGGGGCGGCAAGTGACTTCCTTCCGGAGGCACTCGAGGGGACGATCCGCTTGCCTATCGGGGATCGGTGTCGCTGGAGTGCCTGTGTGTGTGTGAGTGTGTGCGAGGTGTCGGTGCGTGTGTGTTGTGTCGCCGAGCCGTGAGAAAGGGCAGGTGGGCCGGCGGGGCGCGGACGCGGCGTCGACGAGGCGTCGCGGGCGTCACCGCAACAAAAAGACGCCGGAGAGGCCCCCCCCCCTTCCCCCTCCCCTCCCGCCTCATTCGGGACGCCCTAAGTGAGCGATGGGGTTGGCTTTCTGAGCGGCAGGGCTAGGCAGGGCTAGGCGGGGCCGAGGCGGGGCTCATCGTGGAGGGGAAATCACCGCGGCCGCCGACATTGTCTTGGCGGCCGCACACACGTGTCGCATTGTCCGCCCCGCCCCGCCCCGCCCCGGCCCACCCCGGCCCGGCTCGCGCCTCTCGCGTGCCAGCGCGCCATCAGAGTCCCCTCCTCCCACACGAAATTAATTAACGTCTTCGCGCATCAGCGCGGCGTCGTCGCGGCGCCGGGGCGGCAAGAGCTTTACTTACTTCTCGAGGTCGGGCAGCGACTTGGCGCATTCGACGCAGTGGGTGTCGCTGTCGTCCTCGTCCTCGACGTCCTCGCGCTCCTCGCTGTAGTCGCGGTCGTCGCCGCCGGTGCCAGAGTGCTGCGACGCTGAAAGGAAGAGCGACGTCGTTATTTGTCATTCTGATTACTATTGATTGCCATCCGCCCCTCATTCGCCGGGAAGGTGAAGGATGTCCTGGCCGCGCCGTTAGGCCGCCAGGCCCGCCAGGCCCGCCACCATGCCACCGGGTGACACGTCGGAGACGCCGGAAGGCCGTAAGCCCCTCCCCCTTTTTCCACTTGGCGGGGCCGCGGAAGATATTGAGTTCGTCCCTAATCGATTCCCTCACAAAGCGCCCAGTTAGAGTACCCGCGAAGACGGGCCGGTTAAACAGGCCGACGACGAGCGCGAGCCGAGGCGGCAAGGGCAAGGCCGAGGGCCGAGGACCGACGGGGCAGTAAACGCCAGCAACGGCCGCATTTTTATGTCGCTGCTCTATTTTTTGTCTTCCCCGTCCACGTGACGGGAAGTTGGACTGGAAAAAAGTGTCACCACCGGGCTGGCCTGGCCGGGGCGGTCGGGCGGGCAGCGGGGCCTGATGACCGAAGCTATTAACAGGCTGTGAGGGGCAAATGAGCCGCTAGCCTAGGCCCTTCCCAGCAAGGCGCGGCGACGGCTGCCCACCATTCCCACACGCATTACCTAGTCAAATGAATGCCGCGGCACGTACCCCAACCGCACCGCCCTGCAGGCCCTGCAGGCTGTAGGCCACGGCGGCCGCGGCCACAGGCCGGCTGGGTTTTCAGGAAGACTTTCAGGATGGGTTGCGATTTGAGGGCAGGATCGGCTTCCGGGGTGGGCGTGGGTGGCCGGGCTTTCGGGATGTGCTTGCCTCACATCCTGTGCATGGCTGGACTTGCTGGCGCCCTGTTAGAGTGGGATGGACACCTTCCAGAGTGGTTGGGCTTCCAAGACGAGCTGAGCTTTCGGAACGGGCTCGGGCTGGTCAGGCAGGTGCATCATTATAAAGTCCCTCCGCCAAAACTTTACAGCCCGGGAGTGCTTTGTGGACACAACAACACACGCACCGGAACCACAATGACAGGCGGGGGCCGTGATTCGCTTAGCTTGTACATTGAGTAATCGCCTCGTCCGGGGCGGGGCGGGGCGGGGCGGGGTGGGGCGAGGGCCCATAAAGGCGCCCGCTAATAGCCGCGGGATGGCCCGTGCGTCCCCGCTCGTCGCGCTGCCCAGCGCTTCGGACGCAGCGCCACTAGTTTTACACTTGTCGTCCTTTTACTTTGCGCCCCGCCGCGCCGCGCCGCACGGCCGCGCCTCGCGTTAAACAAATAACGCGCCAGATAAGTGACCGGCGTGACCGTCACGCGAGCCTCGTAATGGAACGGAGCCGTGCCATCGGCCCGCGGCAAATTCAAACAAGGCGGCCGCGCGCCAAAACCGGCTAGAAGGCGCTCGCCACCTGTTGCGCTTTCTGCGGGGAAAGTCCTCCCGCGGTTTCGAGGAAGGAACCCGAAGGAAGCCACGAACCGTTTGCTCCAGCACCAACTGGAGTGCTAATGAGGCTCTGCCGTGATCGGAAGGCGCGACCAGGGGCGCGTCCTCCCCCGCGTGCCCGGCTGGCTGCCCGGCTGGCTGCCTGGCAGTGGCGCGGCGGGTTGTTTCCAAACGTAATCGATGTAAACGAACGCTCTATCAGGGCGTGCATTCGCCAGGCATTCATGCACGAGCAGGACGAATTGGGCGGCGATTCTATCTGGGCTCGGCAAACAGAGTCAGGCAGGCAGCCAGGCCGCACGCGAAGCGAAGAAGGCGTCGCGGTGTCCGATGACGGATGATGGGTTTGCTAACGCTAACGAGGACGGATGGACGTGGCCAGGCTCACATTTGCACGCGCGAACAGCGGGAGGACGGGCACCAAGAAAGGCCTGCATAGCAAAGGCTCGCCGCTGGCTCGGGTTTGAGCGAGATGCACACCCGTCAGGCCGAAGGGTGTCTGATCGGGAGAACGAACGTGTGGGAAGGAAAGTTGGACGTAAAACAGTGTCGGTGCAGGCAGGCCGAGGCAGGCCGAGGCAGGCACCGTGGCGACGTGGAGCGGTATCAGCATCGCCGGGCGCTGCGAAATGCGGCTCTAGACGAAGGGGGTGGCGGAGCGCGCAGCGTGCCGTGCTTGGCAGTGCGGCGGTAGTGTTGACGGACACGCCATTGTTCGCGCCGCGGTGTGCGGTCGCCGCGGTCGCCGCGCCAAGGTGGTCCAGCAGTGATTCATGAGGACGTTATCACCCGGACGGCACGGCACGACGCGGCACGGCGCGGTTAGCACAATGGACAGCAAATAAGAAACAACGGCGACGGCGCAAAAATGGCGTGCGCAGCGCGCGCAGCAGACTGATTCCGAGGAAGGTCGCTCTGTCTCTCTCGCTCTCTAGAGGCGTCACGTGTAGGTGCGAGAGAAACAGAGCGACGGAAAAGACTCTCGGAATCAGTCTGCAGTCCAGCGAGCAGAGCGGCGGGCCGGGCGGCGACGCGCGCCTGCAGCCCGCCGGGTAGGCAGCGCGACGACACGGCAGCGCGGCGCGCGGCCCGCCTGCCGGGCGTACTACCAGCAAGGCCCCCGTGTTCACCTGGCGCTGGCTATCCCGCGGTCCGTGGCGGCGGGGGCGGCGGGGGCACACACGCCGTCAGCACGCGGCGAGTCCGCGGTGGCGTGCCCATCGTGTCATCACGATGTCCTCACGCGAGGCGCGCGCGTTGTCGGCACACTGCGATAGGCGCGTCCGGAGGTCCGACAGGCAGACGACACCGAGTCGTCCTCGCGCTGCCACGGCGGGGCGTGCGTGTGGTGCTCGTCGCTGTGCTCGTCGCGATGCTCCTCGTGATGCGCACGCGGCGGTGTCGTCCCGGGGACTGGACGAGGTACCGGCGCGGCGGTCCTGACCTGGCCGTCGTCCGCGGCACGGCGGCACGGCCCTCTGCCATTGGCTGCGCGGCGGGGGTGGCACCGCGTGGCGCGGCGGTTGGCGCTACCCTGATAGCCACCTGATCGCGGTTCCCACCCCCACCCGGCAGCGTGGCGGCGAGGCGGCGAGCGAAGCGGCCCGCCAGGTACTCTGGCATATGTCACGACGCCGCCGAGGAAGCCGAGGGCGAGACCGGGCGAGGCCAGGACGGCCAGGAGGGCCAGGAGGGGAGGGGTTGCCAGCACGCCGCGTCGCCAGCCGCCGTTCGAAAATATTTTTCGAACCCCCATTGCTTGTTGGCGCTGCGGCACAGCGGGCCGGCAGCAGGGCATCAAGGGCCTGCAGCAAAGGGGATGCCAGGGGATGGGGCGGAGGCGGGGCGACGCCGGCGACGCGCCGCAAGCGGAGTCCGCCTCAGAGCCGACGAACCACTCAGAGCCCTCCGCAGCCTCAGCCTCAGAGGGTGGATTTTGCGGATCACAAGCGAGTGTGTAATTGAGCCGCACTCAAGTGAGCATCGCGGGGCTTTTTACAGACAGGCTCCCTCCCCCTCGAGGGCCCTCAGCGCCGGCCGGCCGCCCGCCCGCCAGCCAGCCAGCCGCGCAGGCAGGCACCGTCTGCTAGCAAAACGGCGACCAATGGCGCGGAAAAACGCGACCACTTCCTGCGCTCCGCGCCCCACCCCGCCACTCCTCTCTCTCTCTCAGATGGCACAGCGTGGCTCTTGGGCGCAGATGCAGCCTTTTCGCCACAAAAGGGTATTAAGTTGGTACCAGCGCTGCGGTGGCTGCATCCACAGCGAGTTGGGGTGCGGCGGCGCGGCGCTGCCGGAGCGCGCACCCACTGCAGCCAACAACAAATTTAATGAAAAATAAAATTAAAAAGACCGCTTAAAAACGGCGTCGAGCGCCGGGGCGAACTCGCTGGCATGAAAGCCAAACTTCCGCGGCCCTTAGTCGTTGTTTTCTCTCCAAATTTGGGGCGCAATCATGAACTGGTTGCGCGAGCGTGCGAGCGTCCCGAGGCGTCCCCGGGCCCTCCAGCCTCCTCTCCGGGGCCAGGCGCCGCCAGGCCAGGCGCCGCCAGGCGCAGCGCGCGGGGCTCCCTCTCCGGCAGCTCCTCTCAACCCCCGCGGCAGCCGTGCCGTGCCATGCCGCGCCATGCCGTGCCATGCCGTGCCATGCCGTGCCGGCCGCACCGCACTGCAGCAGCGGGCCTTCCGCCTGGACGGCCTTAGAACAACATCATCAGCTTTTGCGGAGAATGAGAGAGTCAGACAACGGCGATGAAAAGCAGGGGAGCACTGGCTCACTCACACATACACGCCGCAGTGCCCCTTCTGTGTGTGTGAGTTTATCAGCCATTTCATCCATTATGAATACCTCGTCTGGTGCCGCGGCGAGGCAGTGCGAAGCCTCCGCGTGCGTACCTTTGCAGCAGGGGCTGTGACTACTCGCGCTTCTCTCCCGCATCTTCCTACCGAAGTCAACAGAACGGCAAGAGCAGCGCTTTTCTTTGAAATGTTGCAACTACTTTTTCACACATACACATTGGAAACCAGCGAGTCATGGTGGCGGGCGACGCTCGGCCCGTCACTCGCAGGCCATAGAGCGCAGAGGACGCGCGGAGCGGGACCTCTCGCTCGCACTCACGCACGTCCTCGTGACGCGCTCTCTCTCTCTCTGTCTCACTCTAAGGCGACCCTCCCACTCGGCGGCCGCAAATGACGCGTAATACGCGGCCGTGCGATATGGAAGTACGGGACGCGCTGAGACGCGACGACGTCGCTCCGTCTCTCTCGCACCCCCACTGATGCCTTTGTCGACAAAGGCACGCATTTTCCGCTCTTCTCACGCTGCTCAGCCGGACGGAGCGAGGCGGGGCGAGGCGGCTGGACGTGGAGCGCGGCGCGGCGACGCCACGGATGAGCGCCTCAAGGAGCGAGGCCCTGGCTGCCCTGGCCAGCGCATGCCTGTGCGGTCCGCGCCGTTATTAGATTAATCGAGGGGGAAAGAAAGGGGGGCGGCCCCGCCACAGCTGGTGCGCTACGGGACGCGGCACCGTGAGGGTACATGGTTATGCGAAGCGACAAGTGCAGACGGACACAACTCGGCATACAGTGTAGC